TCATTTTATTTCATACGCTCGAATGATTGCATTGTTGTATTACAGTAATTCATACTGAATTTTTACTGCATTTTTATGGTTCGTATGTTAACTCTGTTGATACAACTGGAGTAAAACAGTTGTACGAATGATCGTTTTATGAGACCAATTATCATGTGAGGAACTTTCTTCAACTTGCTTGGAAGAAATGATGTCGATAGTCATGTGGATAATATTCATCCATAAATGTACATTTATATATACAACATTGAACGTCGTGTAAATGTCCATAAATGTCGACATATTTCCAATATTCCTATGAGTGAATATATTCCAACGATCCACCAGAAAACTATTCTATTCTGTAGCTATTGGTTGCAGTCTTCATTGGAATTTTTTTTTTTATTATTTCCATCTCTACAATGCAACAGACTTCTCTGTCAAGCAGAGAGCAAACAACCTACGACAACTTGCCGTTCTCCTTTTTTTTCCCTTTCAACAGGAAATCTTAAGGACCCGAAGGTTTTATATTGTCATGCTTTATAAGACAATAGGAAGAATAGAAGGTGATGCGAATAGATGAGAACCGTTTGCGTGCCTAGATTTTCAAGGCCACCACTGTCCCTTTTACCTCTTACTCTACTCGATGAGCAAAGAAATGGAGGCAATCATTTGCTTGTCTCTCTTTTCTTCTTTTTTAACTCCTTCTAATAGCACGTATATACTCTTCAGTTAGACAGCCAAGTTACGCTTTCGAATTTTTTTTTCATCTCGTCATTTCGGTAAATTGAATTTCCTAAAGTCTGACAAAATGTCTGTGAGAGGAGAAGGAGAAGAGGGGAAAAAAACGAACCTTTTCTATCCGAAATTTTCATTGCATAACTTTGGTGATAAAGATAAAAGTATAGAATTGCGTTAAATCAATAATTGAGAGGTTGAAAAATAGTAGTAATTGGTGGGAAGAATTTCTAGAGTTGATTGGGTGTGGGTTATTGATATATTTTGGTATAAACAACAAAGGGCAAATTGGTTTCCTTCGGTGTCTAGTATTGTACATGTGATGGCTATTGGCACTGTACACGTTGTCGCACTTGTGCTGACGCAAAGACGAATGTTACGTCATCATATAGCCGTGGCTCTAGAGCGCGAGTGCGTTAGAGGTATTGCGGGTGTTCTATTTCAATCATTTAATACCCGAATTTTTTTCTCACTCAACGAAACTAAATAAAGTCACTTCACCTAGTTAGAAAAATTATTTTTACTTCATATGTTCATTGAAATGAGATCAAGATATATTATTGAATTTATTGTTGAGTTGAAATGATTTATAAAAAAGTGTGCTTTTGAAATATCACACCTGGTATATTTCGAAAAGGTAAACGAAAGAAAGAGAAGAGATTCTGTCGACATGGCAACGTCGATTTTATCCCCACTTTTAACTTCTTTTTCTCTTGTGTGTAATGTGTATTACGTCTGGTCCTTGTTTACTGTCATCATTCCGCGTTGGCATTCTCGTCTTTTCGTCTGCATGCGTTTATATCGTCATTTGGAGCAACATCAAGTGTAGTACTACATACTTTTACTGTGTATATATATAGATATATATTTGAGTTAATGTTGAGTATCGACTATCGTGGAACACCTTCCGGTCAGCTGTCGAACATCACTCTTGTACTCCACGACAACTAAAAAGACGAAACTCCATTCCGAAATATTCTCTACTCTCCATATAAACTCCCCATATCCTAGAGTCTAAACTTCAGACTAGATGGCTTCAAAGGAGGGATAAATACGTACGCAATAAATTTATATACTACTATCATATGACGCAAAGACAACTTGGCTCTTTAAAAGGAAATGGAATGACGTATTCAAAGCTATATTGCAGCTATCATTTATCGAGAGTTTGTCGCTAAAAGAATTTTTCATTATTTCAAGACTCTTTTTTTTCTCTCTTTTACTTCGTTCCAATTTATTGGCATTATTTTTTTTTATTAGAAAAAACTTGTTGTTGAGTTAATATTGCTGGATATTTTTTCACTTGAAAAAAAAAAAAGAGAAAAATGTACAATTGAAATATTAAATTATTCTATGAAATTAAAAATTAAATTGAATTTGTTTTATAAATAAAAATATAATTCTTTGCAAATAAATGATTTATATTGATCATGAAATAAAAAGGTTTTGCAGCTGCTGTATAATTTCAGATGACTGAAAAAAAAAGATTATTTCAACGAAAAAAACAAAAAAAAATTTCAACATGGACTTTGAAAATTTCTTGTTTAAGTCAGTAAAATTTTTCTTTCATGTTATTCACATAATGACTTTTTCCACTTGACCACAAAATTGTTAGAGGGGGGAACAATTTCGTAATTCACGTTAATTCGGCTGGAAACATGCGGTTAATTTGCAAGTATACGGGGGTGCCTCCCTTGAGCTCGTATATCTTTGCATAATAATAGATCCCACATCGATCGACCTATTACGCCAGATAGTATAAAACAGACTATAGCCTACATCTCATCGTCCTTTTTTTTTCGTCTTTTTCTCATTCTTAATCTCTTCGTAAACATTTTTTTCCAAGCATTACACGTGCGCGAGATTTACAAGCGATACTTTTAACGGGCACGAGATCACAGTGATTGGGGTCTAGGTTAAGTGACAATGTTTGTGATTACAATGAGCCAATGTAATCGTTACACAAAGCTCAAGTGAGACGACCAGAAGGGGGAGAAAATGTCATAGTGTAACAACACAATAACAGGAACAATTAATGTTTAAAAGTGCGAACAAACAATTTGTATATAAACGCGGGCGTTGGACGGCACTGGCTCGCGCGCAAGTCCGCGTTGCCATGATCGCCCTGGCCCACTGACCTATATTACAGCGGGTACAGGTCCCGCATACGAGTCGCTGTGCTGCTCGACCAATACTCGCGAACGCGCGAGACCTGCAGCTCTCCGCCGTGCCACCGAGACACGTTCTTGTTCCGAGCATCGTGTATCTCTCAACTAACGTCTACTACTCGCTCTCGAGATCGTTGTTTCACTATCATTGCTTCTACTATTCGCGGACTGGCATCATTTTTCCCTTTCCCCTTTTTAGTTGGTCGTTTTATTTCTTTCCTACTGATGGTTGGATTGTTACTGCTGCTACGCTGAACCAATGTCAATCAAACGAATTACTTTGGATTTTATTTTTATTTCTTGCCGTTATGTTATTGTAAATATGTTTACAACTGAATGTTGATACGACGATGCTTATATGGCTGCAGTATTTTTTCACTATTATTACCAGTGGTGGAGAAGAAAAAAAATACTATGAAAATGATGGTTTTAAATGCAGTGCGACAAGTGGATAATTATCACGTTTATGGATATTTTTGGCGTCCTTGTTTTATCAGGATGAAAGGTGCTCTTTCGTTTTTTAAAATATTTTGAAATTTTTCGAGTAGGTGGTTTGGGAAAAATAAAAATAATCTTCTTTTCACGTGATGTTATAAAACATACTTTTTTTTTTTTTTAATGTCGAAATTGTTGTGCTTTTTCTTTCAAATTGAAAAAGTTTATTTAGATGAACTAATTAGAATTGTACATGCTTATTTAGTTTTTCAACTTTTTAGTCCTTACAATTTTTTTTTTTCATTGAAAAAAGTTTTTTGTATTATTAAATGAATTAAATTGGGTTTATTTAATATCTTAAAATAGATGAAATATAAAACCCAATTAGGTCATATTTCACATTTATCTCAAAAACGTCCATTTATTTCATTCAGCAACTTCAATTATTTTGTTTCTAAACAATTTTCAAATTAAATCCGAGTTTAATTGAATTCTTATACGTGTAAATTACATCTATAATTACACATATTTTAAATTTTTTTCAAAATTAATTTTTCAAGTACTTATAAAACATTACCAAATTTGACCAGAATTACAATTCGATGGATGTTTTTAAATTATGGATAAGTATGGATAAAAATAGGCTGTTTTTCAAAAAGATCCAGTATTATTTCATCTTTAAAAACAAGCAGTCTTTTTATTTAAAATTCAAATGATAAAAAAAATTGCTGAAGAATTTAAATAAATCATCTGTAATCATCTTAAAGTTGTTTTATCGAATCGTTTAATTAAAATAATGACGATGTAAAAAATTTTTTAAAAAAATGTTAACACATGGAGAAAAAAGTTGAGAAAGCACAGGAAAAAGTGATGAAGCATGGGGAGTGCGTGCTTGCTTAATTTAAATAACGTATGACGTGTAATCTCATTGCGTCGAGTTGAGCTGATTCCAGTGTTTCTCATCCATTATCTATATATATATATATATATATATATATATATATGCAGTTCGTTCCCCCTTCCTTGTTCGCTAACAAGCACGAGGCAGGCTTCAGCATCGATTCCTGTACATTAAAACGTCATAAGATTTTTACATCTATTATATACACGTGTATATGTAATTTAGATAATTTAATGATGTTTCAGTTATCCAACAATTCAACAATAGTTGATAAAAAAATATTCCCCCTTTTATTAAGCTTCTATTATGCCGTTTATTAATATATTAACTATTAGTTTTTTGTATAAATTGATGTAGTAGATGGAGTGGCTTGTTTACATACAGTCTTGGTAGATAATTTTTCAATTTACGGTATAAATTACCTTCTAAATTGACTCGTTTTGACTGTAGTTGCTATTATGTGGTACGCGTGACAAGTCGGTATACATCAGAGTTCGTTACGACTGAATTATCTAGGACAATTTGGTATTTCGTCGTTAAGAAAATATAGAATATATTTCTAAGAAATTCATTATTGGAATATTCACACATAGAAAAAAATCAGTTGTCAAGAGAAATATTTTATGATTATTCCTTTTTTCAAAGTCCCTGCACCCTATCCCTATTACTACTACATCTATTCATTCTAATTTTTGTTCTTTTTTTATTATTAATTGTATTGTCAATATTTTTAGGTTTATAAACTTTTTAAATTCTAAACCCTTGTGTTTTTTGTTCAGATCTGGAACTGGGGAATTACAAGACCCATTGGGGGTTAAAATGAATGCGATAACTGGTGGCGTCACGAAGAAAAGGAAGAAATCAGATGCCAAGCCTCAGTCACAAATGTAAGTTAATTTTTTCATTGAATATTTGAAAGGTTGAAAAATAATAATATAATTCATTTATAAGTGAGTTAATTGTTAGTGAGAAAATAAAAAAATAATTGAATAATTAAATTGATTAAAAAATAAATTAAATTTCAGTGGCCATTTATTATTCATAAAAATGTTTTTCATTCTCTTAAAGTTGAATGAAAATTTTTGTGTTAAAAACAATTACATGAATAAGTGGTGAAGAAAGTGGATAAATATTTGTGAGGCAATAAAAGTAATAGAAATTACAAAAATTATTGAGAAAAATAAAAAGGAAAATGAAAGAAAATATTTGTGGAAGATATATATAGGTAATAAGAGTTTTATTATTATTGATTTTCATTTCAGTAATAAGTGCCTTAATGAAAAAAGACGACGCTACCAAGAAAACGAGTTCATCGAAGAGCTTGCCGTGCTGATCTCCTCTACGGACATGAGCTCTGGCAAGACTGATAAGTGTCAAATTCTCCAGAGAACCGTCGATCAGGTAAGAAAATACCTTTACCATATCAATCATTATTATTATACATTTTATCTTATTTACTTACAATAAATTATTAAATACAATAATTAATTGTTGATAATGAAAATGAAGTGATGTTTTCTACGTGCAAGAGTGGAGTGTAGTGATGATGATGATGATGATGATGATAATACACAGTGGTGGATGTTGATAAAATAGACGTCGTAATGTCTGATTATTATTTAGCCTATTCATTTACAATATTGACCTGTATGTAAAGTCAAAATACATCTGAGAATCAAGTCTAATCATTAATGGATGTTATGAATAAACCGCAAGGTCATTAAAAAGAGTTGAGGGTAAAAAAACATGTACGTAATTTTGGTCGATGATGTCGGAAGGTAACCGCGAAAACATTCAGAGCTCAAGAGAAATGATTAAGCACTCTTCAAAGTCCATTTGTACGATATATTATTTTTTTATTTTTTATTTTTATTTGCTCGCGTTCACTTTCAATTTAGGATTCTCCATGTAATGTTTGAATTAGTTCGAGTGGTGTAAAATTGAACATAGTGAGTACATGAATTGATAGAAGAGATGGGTTTGTAGTTTAAACAATAACAATAATCCAATCGGTTGTGGGATGAAAATAATTTAATCATGGATATGGATTTGTGGTGAATCTCGTGGTGATGCACGATATGATATGAAGCAAGTTTTGTTTCGTGTGCATTGTGCATTGCTGTGCAGTGTGAGTGTGTGTTTTAAAAGCGGCAACGTTGCTAGGCCCGTTTGTCGGACTCTCTGTGGGAGTCACCGACTTCTCGAGGCCACGCGTTAATTCACATTGAGATTACGACGCGATCTATCGGTGCCGGGAAATATAAACTCAAGGACGATTTTTCTTCTGCGACCGTGAACTCGGCCGGTAATAGAAAACTTTCAGTTTAATACACTTCACTTGGAAGTTTATATACTCTAGGTACAGTCCATGTGTACACTTTCCTACATCAGTTATTTATAAAAATAAAATGTACTTTTTCCATCCTAGTATTTCATCATTATTCAACGCTTGTTCTCTTGTACCATTCTCTTATTATTTATCAACTCTCATCAGTGAAGAAAAAAAAAAAGAAAAAAGATATATATATCATTTTTAAGGACTAAAAAAAATACAAGGATGTGCAGAGAATTCAAAAAATAATGAGATCTTATGATTATAGTAATTAAAGCTTAATTAATCATATTCCCTTTGATAGAATCTACGACTTAAATAGATTTTATCTTTTATTTCTTTTGTCCCATTCATTCGTACTATTTAGTTATCCAGTAATTAATAAAATAAAATAATGAAAGGTTTTTGAAAATGAAAATCCACGAAAAAGATAATAAAAAGAGATTTGACTTATTTTTAATAAACCTTCTAATCGTAGTCATTAAAATTATTTAAAGAATCATCGATAAAATCAAAATGTTAATAAACTGAACTTTGTTTTTGGTTCTTATAAAATGAAGAATGATATGCAGATAATAAATGCAAGCACACTTGAGTACATTGTCACGAAAATCATCCTGATAAACTCTCCATGATTTGAGTTTATGTACATTGTTATCATTAATATTGTTAAAATAGATAATTAAATAATGACGTCATTGATTAGTTTAGATGTGTAAATAATAAAATGAAGTAAAATAACCAAAAGTTTAGTGATTGTATTCTTGAACTGTGTCAATACTCAATACATATAATATTTGTTCATGTAGCTAATTTAAAAGCTATTTTGTCAAACAATTAATACTAATTGGATTTAAAATATTTGTAATGTCCACATTTTAATCTTAACATCTTAATGCCACGTCATAAATACACTTACAGATTCGGCACTTTAAGCGACAAGAGGGAACTAATAGTCATGCCGTTCAACAGGGTGAAGTCTCCTCCTCGAATCCTAGTATATTATCTAATGATCAAGTTGGACCCATTTTGCTCGAGGTATGTAACACGACTTGACGATCAAGTTCATTAAAACTAACTTTTTTTTTCGACGACATGGGACTTGAACATACACTTTTAAAGGCTTTTTACATTTTTACAAAATTATTTTTATCAAATAATATCTTTAAAACCTTAATCATCTCCTTTGTAATTGATTTTGTCACTTATTACTCACAAAAGACCTACAGTTAGTGACATTTAAAGGTTTTTTTAGAAAGTTCACTTTCAAATTTTCCCTTCTAACTTTGACATAATAGCTATAATCATTAGCTGCATTGTACACCTTTAAGTAACAGTATTTTGACAGTATGATGATCGTAGATGAAAATAATCAAAGAATCCATAGTAGATGAATGAGAATGTTGTTTTGGATCGTTGCGAAATATGCAACATATTTTAAATGTTTCACAGGCTTTGGATGGTTTTCTATTCGTCGTGAACTCGGAGGGTCGCGTGGAGTACGTTACTGATAATATACAACAGTATATAAATTATACCAAGGATGATGTGCTCGGGAAGGATATTTATAATATTATTCATCACGGTGACCATCAAGCCTTTATGCCCAGCTTAATGCCCATGTCAATAGGTCAGAACTATTCTCTTACTATCTTTTCACTTATTTTTCCTTATCACTGTTTCAATCATTCTTACTATTTGTGCCCATTTTTATTTATTTATTTATTTATTATTTATTTTTTTCTCATTGTAATTTTTGATTTATTTTATTTTTTTTTTTTAAATCGTTTTTACTATCCCTATAATTTCGTCAGTTTTTTAACATTAGACTACTTATCGGTTTTATTTACAGCAATGTACATATGTCAATCAATGTTTTATTAGCTTGTCATCATTAATAAACGATCTAAATACTTGGTAATAATTAAATAATTAATTATCAAATTATTTATTTTTATACCATACCTTCTTACTGAGTTCATTTGATTTATTAAAATTAAATTAAAAATTTTTTTTTGAAATAATTCTTAGTAGCTTGAATTCGGGTCACTGATATTCTTTTTCCTATGAAATCCAAATGATTATTTTTAGTTGAAAATAATATCAAACTTTCTCAGTATTTGTGTTTTTTTTTTTAATGAAATAAAAAAATTCTAAGACATGAAATTCGATTAAGTTGAAAACATCCGTTTATAATTTTTATTAATAATTAATTTGTCGAAATGCATTTTATTGATTTTCAATTAGAACATAGTATAGAATACAAAGTAACTTACTAAATATAGTATGAGGAAATAAATAGTTTTATTTTATATATTCATATTACGACAATGATCCGTTTAATAAATAAATATTTGTATAAAATGCCCTCCAGTAATATATTATCATTTCTAGAAGTAAGTTAATAATGATGAAATATTGATAAAAATATAAAATTGACTCAAACTATCATGAAAAAAGTAGACTAATTGAAAGAATAAATTTAACTTGTGTTACTTTTATTTTTTTAAGTTATTTTCTAATTATTAAACATTATTATAAATATTAAAAAACAATAGTTAACATTGATAAGAGTTTAAAAAAGCTGACGTAATTAAAATAAGTAATTTTCAATACTTAAGTAATATCTTAATAAAAATTCCACAAATTAAAAATTTTTCATTCAATGATAATTATTTAATAGTATTTTATTTTAATTAAATTTTTTTTTTGTTTTGTAAGACACAGATTTATTTTCTTTTTATCTCCATATTTTATTTTAAAATTGGTCTTTATTGATAAATTGTAAATTAAATCCCAGGGTGGACGAATGAGCCTCAGCTTCAGTCAAGAAATCGTACTTTTAACTGCCGTTTTCTCGTAAAACCTCCCGATGATCAAGACGAGACTATGGAAGAGAAGCAGCAGCGTGTATCGCAATATGAATCAATGCAAATATGTTCTGCGCTTCTTCCAAATCCCAGTGAACATTTAGAAAATAGTGATGTATCGTCTGAATCGTCCGACATCGGGTCTTGCGTAATGTGCGTTGCACGTAGAATTTCTTTTACTGAAAAGCCAATTAACACTGCACCAATTCATCAATTTACTATTAAATTGGATACTACGGGTAGGATTATTGCAGTGGATATTAGTAATCTTCCAATTCCATATTCTCAGTACATTCGCAAGGTAAAGACGATTAATTCAATTATTGTATTGATGCAACAGTTTTTGCATTTTTTTTCAGAGATTTATTTGAATCAATTTGTATCATCTTTAACCAGTTATTCCCATGGTATAAATCTATTTCGATTTTATCAGTACAATAATTGCAAACAGCTTCCGTCATCAAAAATAATCCGTGAATTTTTTTGGACTATTTTATTATCGACCAATACATTCAGAAAATTCATCTATATATTGAGACATGGAATGCTTAAAAAATACTGATAATTTAATAAATTATTGTAAGAAAATTTAATTTATGTTTGATAATTATTTTCAAAATTTTTTTCTTTATTTCCAACATCAACGTATACTTTCTAGTATTAATTAAATTAAAAATAACTTTACTAATCATCACATTAGTGATAAAAAAAAAGTAAAAAATACCTCAACAATTATTTTTTTAATGTAAGATTCAAAAAAAGAAAAAAATTGTTTAATTAAATAATATTAAACATCATATTCAGAATGCAAATATTTTTGCATCAATTCAATATTAGAAATAGAAAAGTTAGTAATATAATTAAAGAAAAATTAAAAAAATTTTTTTTTGAATTTTAGGATTTACATGGCACTACTGTCCACGATTTGTGTCATCCGAATGATCTCAGTAAATTTACTGCTCATTTGAAGGATACAGTACAATTTGGTGAAGGAGAAACATCCATATACCGACTGCGTGTTAATTCTGATAAATGTTTTAACGTTCAAACCAAGTCAAAACTATTTAAAGCAAACGCGATGAATGTACACGAGACAGATTTTATTCTGTCTACTTATTCAATAATTGGGTAAGTTGATAATTAATAACCATCCAATCCATTAATCAATAATCACCGTATCATCCCCATTGACTGATTTTATTTTCCATTATTACCATCTCCATTGTTTGATACTATTCATCATTTGTATAACAATCGATCAACTAACATTCAAGTCATAACCTACCACCGCGAAATGGGAGTTTTTATTATTTTATTTATATCACACCGCTTATTCACTTAATTACAACCGTACGCAACAGTTTAATAACCTTATTACCTTAGTAACCACGCACTGTCTTGTTTTTTTGGTGTTGGAGATCTGGCCACTCTTAAAAATATTTTTTACTTATAGAAAATTTATTTTAAGTGATAACACATTTATGTTACTTCTATTTCGACTTCATTAACTTTATCAATAACCATATGTTTAAGTGTCAACATTGGTGTTATTTACAACTTTCATCATTTCATATCCTCACGTACATTAACATCATTAGTTAATGTGAATAACTGTACAACAATAATTATTAGAAATAGATTAGGATAGAATAGTATAGATGAACTATGAAAATTATTATAAAATAAAAAAAAGTAGAATAGTGGGATTTAGAATAGTATCTTAGTATATTTGTTAAGTGAATATTACATAGTTTTGTTTGTTGTTTACAAATAGGGATAATGACTTAACACCTAGCGAGGGTGGTCAGCTTTCCAACAGCAAAGTGTGCTCAGGACACTCTAGTAACCATTGTGCGAATAATAATAGTAATAATGCCGGTAATAATAACAATAATGTGGGTGGTCCATTAATGTCCGTGGCTCATGTGAATGGTCAAGTGAGTGGTTTAAGCGGTCGATCCTTAACGACAACAACGAATCAAAGTGGTCCCTTCGGTTCGAGTGATTCGTGTAATCCGTTAAGTTCGCAAAACTCTAATAACCCATTCAACCATTTCTCGTCAAATGTGGACTTGGAATTTGAACTATTTCCAAATTCCTCATGGGACTTGGATAGTAGCAGCGGATGTGCTGATAGACCCGAGTCAAGAAATACCGGTCCACCAAACTCACGACCACCTTCCCAGCCAGCCCCATCATCAAGTCCTCAAGCAGCGTTCACCTCCAATTCCACAGTGACGTCGCACTGCAGTCCTTTAAGGGCCTATAGCCCGACTTCCATGATCGGTGCTCACTCCTTTAGTAATTCCTTCCCATTCAGTCCGCTTCAGGATTCACAGACGTCTTTGCTCAGCGTTACGGGTGTGATTAATGGCAGTGTCAGTGGAGCAAGTGTTGGTACCAATGCATCCATCGGTAAAGATGTGCGAGGATGTCCCACACCTAGCCACAGCATCGACTCTATTGGATCAGCTGCGACATCGTCGACAACAGGAACCTCAGCAACGCCGACAACATCCACTGGTTCACCGACAGTCTCATCAATCAGTAGTGGTACCACGACACTATCGTCACCAGGTTCATCAACTTCTACAGCAATGTCGTCATTATCAGGTACAACTGCGAGTCAGTCAACACCTACCACGACGACAAGTTCAACTGCGGTTACGCCTGTATCAATACCTGTGGCTACCACTACTAATTTACTCTCAAATGCCGAGTCCCAAAGTAGTTTGAGCTCCACAGGTGATTCTGGTAGACTTAGAAATCTATTGACGAAGGGTGTGAGTGCTAATAGCGATGATGCTCAGGACAGTACTAATAATGAAACTGAAAACCAAAATGATCATAGAATATTAAAGATTCTATTGAATGCACAAGATGATGATGAATATCATTCTGAACATAGTGCTAAAGTAAGACCATCACCAAGTATTGTTCCTAAACCAGCTGTTGAACACTCCAAGTCTTCTCACAACAACAATATGCTTCTACAGGTAAATTTCTTCATTTTATTTTTATTATCTAAATTATCGAAACAATCTTTGAATATTTCCTTCAAAGCTAATTGAAAAGTTTTATGTACGCAACAATATTAGTCAGGGAAAAAAAAGTTCTTTATTATTCATGAAAAATTACTAAGCATTAATAGAAACGTTGAAATTCGTGCGAGAAACAGAATAAAAAGTTTTTATATGTATACACATATATTTATATAGCTCAAGTTATTTGCTGACGTTGGTGTGTCACTTTTATTCTTTTAAGTCTTTGTAAAACTTATATGTACACGTGCCAACGTCTTTCACGTGCTTAAATGTAAATGTTTTAAATGAAGTCATTGTGGAGTAGTGATCGTATTAAAATATAAATTTGAGTAGCTCTTTATTCTCCAAGCATTAAAATATCTCTAATAAAAATGTTAATTTCTTCTTTTTAAGCTGCTGAACGACAAAAATGATGATGATGAAGATTCTCGTGCAGGCATAAAGAAGCAAAATGAACTCTTGCAGCAGTTGTTGAAAGATCCTGAAGAAGAAAGAAAAATGTTAGAACAAAAGGTATAAAATAGAGAATTTAATTTTTAAAACATTACATTTTTATTAATTAAGTTTTTCTTTTTTTTAAATTAAAAGTTATAACAGATTTATTTAGTTAAAAAATTTTTACCGCTCTTCCAACAGAATCGAGACGATGACAACATACTCAGAAGTCTCGGTTTCAAATCTCCTCCCTCTTCTCAACCTGGAGACCATACTCATGGTAGTACGTCAACACAGAGTGGCCAAAAAAGGCCAGGAGAAGACGGAGATTTAAATATGGCTGTTAAAAGACCGATGGATAATTCTCATCAAGTATCGTCGTCGGGTAGCAGCACATCAGGCCAGGGGACAAGTAAGCTGTGGGAGAAGAACAAAATGTTAGCGTCTCTCTTGGCTAAGCAACCTCCTCAGCCAACAACTATCCCACCAATTCCTGCATCTGTGATATCGGCAACTCCACAGGTATTAATCTTTTTTTTTTTTCATGTCAACTTATTTTTATTGTCACTAGCTTTTACTTATTTTGTTTTCACTCTTTCTAGGATAAGTTGCCCCGTGTTGCTGACCGATTGAAGCAGCAGCAGCAACAACAACAGCAGCAGCAGCAACAACAACAACAACAGCAGCAACAACAACAGCAACAGCAGCAACAACAACAGCAGCAGCAGCAGCAACCCCAACAACCCTGGACAGGAAGTGGAATGCAATCGGTTGGAAGTACCGCAACCACTACTGTTGCTACCTCCGCCCGAACTCCCTTCCAAAATCAATCGAGACTACCTCGCCAAGCAACCAATAGCTACCTCAGTCACATGCTAAGTCACGTTAGTATTTATAATTTTTTAATTCATCATTCAGAGTATTGTATTCTATAATGAAAAGAAATTTCAAGTGAAAGTTTTTGTATGAAAATTTTTATTGTCAATTTATACTACTATTATATTCAATTTTTCTTACATCAATTTAATTATTGTTTGTATTTATTTTAGGAGAGACCTCCAATAGGTCAAATGGATTCGGAATTCCCAAGCGCTGGTGTAGAATTTCATTCGTCCTCAGGAGAGTTAAATACGTATCAATCAGATCCAGCTTTATCTGAGATACTAGATCAAGTAATGGAATTCGTGTCAGACGAAGGGATTACAGACTCTTCAACAATGGCTAATCTCTTAGATCCTATAGAAGCACCTACAAACAATCCTCTTAACGAAAAAATGGCTATTTGCGCTATTCAAAAATCATTAATGCTTTGTGAAACTGCCGTCAATTCGACGTCTTCCACAATAACAATGCCATCAACTCCACCAGCTTATTCGTCTGCGGTAAAGATCAAAGTTTCAAGCATGCTTTTGTGAAGCTTTATTGATTAAAATATAATTATTTGTTTGAAATTAATTCATTAATTACATGATATTTTTTTTTTAATAGTTGGGAAGTGCAACATCTGTTACAACGGCTCACAATTATCAACCACCACCAATGTATCAACAACAGACAAGGGCGAGGTTTACTGGTCAGGCTGGAATAAGACAACCAGCCGTACCATTTACTCAACAACAGCAACAACAACAGCAGCAGCAACAGCAATTACAATTGCAACATCAACGAACGAAATTACTTCAACAACAGCAGTTAAAGCAACGTTTGTTACAGCAGCAACAACAGCAGCAATTACTCATACCATCAAATGCTACGGCACCTGATCAAATAACAGCGGGTATTCATAATATTGACAATTTATTAAATAATACTGTCGCACCGAATGTAACGTTACAGGTAAAGCTTATCTAAAATTATTTTCTATTCAAATTAATGTTGAAATAAATTATAATATTATTTTACTATTTTTTAAAATATTTTAATTGTAGCGATCCAGTGTTTCGGACTCTCAAATGTCGCCAGGGTATGGAAGTTCCGTCCAGTTACCTTCTACTCATCGCCTTACTCATTCTTATTCTCATATGCCAACAATTACTCAACAGTAATTAATATTTTATTATATTTTTTTTCTCATATTTAAAGTTCATTAAAAAAAAAATTCAAAGTCCTTGATTATCTAACAACAAAGTAAATGTAATAGATTAATTATTTTATATTGTTTTTAATAATCTATTTAATTATCAACTACACTTACACATAAAAACAAACGGATGATATTTATTTTATAACATGAATGATAAAAAAAACAACTAATAACTTACTTTTTAGCCCTTCGGTTAATAATAATTTCAACAGCGGTCAACCAGTGTCCGCAGCATCTAGATTATCTCCACATTCTCCCGCTGGAATGTTGTCTTTACTATCTCATTCTCAACCCCTATCTCCACGAGTTTCGCAAGTAAGTAAAGCAAAGAAATTACTATGTTATTTTAAAAATAAAACTTTATATTAAATTATCTTTATTTAATTAAATAGCCAATTTAATAGAAGCAAAAAATTTTCTAGAATGTGAGTATTAAAATCATTACCTTTTAGGGAAATTACGGGAACAATCCTAGAATGTTCAACGTAAACCAAGCAAGGGCGCAACAGCAACAGCCAACAGCAGCTCAACAACAGCTTCAGCAGCAACGATCCATGCCATCGCCTGGCACCGCAGTTCCGGCGCGGCAATCTCCATTTCCTGCCGAAGCATTTCCTCCTCCTGCATCACCAACCGCTAGCCAATTTTCACCCGTTCCAAATCCTGGTAATTCCAATCCTACTGCACAATATCGGCTTCAACGAGCATCATCAACGCCTTCAGCAACGACTCAACTGCCAGGTAATTATTTTTTTCTATAAATCAATCACACAACACATTCCCTTGGATAATAAATCACTAATAGTTTCATAGAGATGATAATAACAATAATGATTGATATATTTGCACCATACTATATCATATGTGCGGGTTTAAAATCACTTATATACAATATAATTAGTATAATCATATTTTCCAAGTGCTTTTTAATGATTATCAATATTTTTAACGCACATTAATAGTGATAGAAAAGATTTTCCTAACGCGTTATAATGAACCTTGTAAATTGTGTCGTAATAATGCAAAAGATTAATACACAAGATAGGTAAGTACAATTTATAATTATCTCTGTTCCATCGACTAATTAAAATTTATTAAATCTTCAATACGTAGTTGATTCAATTTATGCTACGTTATTTTTCAAATAATTTATAGTTTAATTTAATTCTCTTTCAATTTTGTGCATTCACATTTATTTAATAAATTATTCTACAATCAATGATTCATTATCCCATAGCACTCACGTGTTATTGTCATTATTAAAACTTATTAAAGATAAAATAGATATAAACACTAGTATGACAGAAAAAAATCCCATAACAATCATTAAGACAGTTTAATTAAAATAATTTATTTAACGTGAGTGCTTATGTGGAAAGTTTGATTTATTTTGGAGTTATGTTATTTAGAATTGATAGTCCCTTAAAAAGTATCGAGGTAGATTGTGTGGATGTTGCAGGTGGGGTAGGTTCTCCGCGACACTATGGTGGTGTCAGCAAAGATCAACAAGCCTTACTGTCTCCTAGTCATCCTCGCGCTGGTTGTCCCACAACACCAACGCATAATCAACATGCTGTGACGAATAATCATTTTACGAATCAACAACACTCTTCCATGTTATATCGCAACACTGGCAGCAATGTCAGTACCCCAGATGTACAGAATAATCAATTCTGTTACGATCAGGGTTCCGTACCTGCCTATGCAACGAGACCTGAGGACTCTAGGTCATTGCCTTCTAGTAATCCTGCCAGTCATCAAATGGGTGGTAAGTCATATGACCAGTTAATGTCATGTGACCATCACTGAATCATCTGTACAGACACCCCATTGTCATTTTGAGTATCAGCACGTTGGTTCCAGTGCACGGGACCTTGTACATCGACCATAAGCACTCCAATAGCCAAAGTTTACCCATCAATATCAATTTCATTAACTTTCATTCAAGAGCATTTGCCATCCATCGTTATACCCTCACTCTTTTATCATTCATTTATAGCCTGCAAGATCATCATAAAACACATTATAAACCTTCGAATCATGACAGCTTTAGTTTTTTTTATTGATTTTGAAGTAAATCATTTTTATTTGTAATCAGACCATTTGAACATAAACTTTCATTATTTTTTAATGCCTGTTTTTATCTACCATGAAGATTTTTTATTTTAATCTAAAGCTCCACAATAGAGAAATTGATATGTTCAAACGATCTAATTATATTTCTTTTTTTCCAAATTGTATATACATGAATATTTTACTTTGAATCATCACTTGTAAATAACAGCTCAATGTATATATAAACGATATTTGAATGCAACCTGATTTGAATGTGACAATGCTACAAAAGAGTCTTCTGATTGATATTTAATAACTGAATTGTTGAATTTAATTATCTTTTTTTTCATCAACAATGAATTTATCAAAGAAAATTATTTTAGATTCTTTCGGTTGCAACATAATATCAATAATTCACCAATGATCATTATTTAACACAAAGACCGATATTTTCGAAAAACCATTGTGAAACGTTGCATGATGCTTCACATTACATGTCCACATTACTCGTTCCACATTTTGTGCTCAATGAATGCTCACCTTTGTCATCGACTAATCTGCTACTGTGACAAGATGAATCCATCCATATGTGAATAACGATGTACAATCATCTGTTTACTGCACAGAAAAGTTCTTCATCTAATCTGCAAGAATTTCAATCTGAAGATAATATCTCTAAAAGATACATATCAATATTTGAATAACATTTTAATTGTATAATATATACAACAAAGAAATAATTTGATAAATGATTATCATTTAGATGAAAATTGAAATGATTAAAAAGAGAATAATTTTGTCAGAGTCATGGACATGAGCACTAATTTAAAAAAGCAAATTCTAGAAAATGTATCTCTTTTAAGCTTATATTCTGTGCACTGGTATCTTGCAATTTTCCAATTTCCTTCTGCTAATGTTCATGTCCTCGACAATTGTATCATTTTGTATAAGAGGAGACTGCCACTTGATTTTGTTATTTTTTCAAAAAATTATCTCTGCAGGCACATATAAATTAGATTTTTTTATAAGTAGTGAACTGCACAATGCACAATGTAGATAAAATAATTATATTTAATTAGATGAATAATTAGATCCATTAACGCATAAATTAAAATTAGATTGTACCATAATTATTTTTTGTTCAAGTACTTACTCTCCTCTTATTCCTGTAAAAAATGTAATTATTATTTTTCAACGATACTATTAATTTAATTGTCTTATTAGTAATTTAATAATATTCCAGTAAATGTAAAAATGAAGTAAAAATTTGAATCACTGAATGTGCTGTTTGTCGTCACCATCACCTGTGTCTCATTAAAAATAACAATCATTATATGTATAAAATGCAAAAATGTACAGTAATGGTGCCTGACCTAGTTAAAAATTATTATTAATCGAACTTTCAAGTTCTATTGCCAAAAATGAAATAATTGATCAACTATTCATATTTAATTAGAAATGATATCATTATCAACTTATCTATCTATAATTGTTTAATTATTTCACATAAATAATGAAATTTTTAACTAGGTAAATTAAGCGAAATTTAAAAATAAAATCGCTTAAAATAATTGTTTGTTAATATAAATTGTTATTTGTAGCATGGGGAATCTGCTTTCTCATTTTATGACGTCCATGAAAAATTGCATTGAGAAAAATATAAACTTGTGATTTACATTTATATAAATAAAAAAAAACCATTAAGCCTTAGCTTTGTTACTCAAGTCACAAACAACGCAACTAACTTTTCTCCTTAATCAACTTTTATGTAATAAAAACCATTAAACTGTAAAATATACCTTCATCCCATTGTATTATACCTTATTAGAGTTAAGTTATTTATCTTCTTGGAGAATAATACCAACATTTGTGTATTAAATCTACCTTTTATATACCACCCTGTTAGTGATTAATATGCTATTTAGAAAATAGCGAATTTAATTATTAGGTATAAAGAAAATTTTTTTTCGTTGATTATAAAATAATTTTTTCTTTATTTCTCTTATTAGGCAATAATACTACGTCGGAGTTTGTACGGCAAGAATTGAGAGCGGTTGTAGGAGCAAGAACTCAACAGAGAGTACCAAATAATATCCAGAACAACCTCATAGGACAAGTATCTCAAGAGGAACTGGAAGCCCTTGGACTATCATTTGAAATGTCTCCTGGTAAATAATTTAATCATTCATTTTTTTAGCATAATATTCATTTAGCAAATTAGCAATCAAAATTAAGACACTCAAATTAGACATTTTTTCAACCATCAATTATATATCAGTTTAACTCTTAATTTGAATAATTTTCGAAAGATAAAAATTTTATTAATGTGTCAGATTAATGCTCACTTATGACACTCTATGAAATTTTATCAAATGAATTGACTTGGTGGAAAATTGAGAGTTAAATGTTGCTTTTATATTACAAATTAAAAAAATTCTTATTCTGAAATTGAATAAATAAATTAGCACCAATCATCTTATTGAATTTAATAAATATAAACCCAATAATGATGACATGGAAAAAAATTTCACACTTTTCAATAAATTAAGGCACTTTAAATAGTGATACATTTTTAATAAATTAAATTATCACATATTTACAAAAATAGCCAAAACAATAGCACGATTGTCACTTTAATCACTGAAATTATTAACAGAGCTTCTTCCAGAAACACTTCAATAATTACACAATGATTAGATATTATAATGCTGTGAAAAAGTATTACACATGACTGAAACTATTATCACTCAACATTTATTAATATTTTTAATTTACAAAATATTTAATTGGATAACTTACAATATCATCATTCAATCAAAAAATTAGTTACACTTTAATTGAGTAATTTACATATACCATACACTTTAGTATAAATAAATAATTTGTGGATAAATAATGAATTAGTAGTTAGATAAATTGGAATACAAATAAAATAATCAATAAGTGAAATAGAAAAGCAAAATAAAACAATATCGTATGTCGACTGTGGTAACATTGATTGCTACAATGTCCTAAATAGGTGAGGCTGTGGCTAGCGATGGCCCTGCTAAGAGCTGGGCCATTGGGAGTGCCGGAAACGCGCCCTTCTCCTCAAGGGTAAGATCCCGTCGTCAATTAATTAATTATTTTACGTATTTTGATTTGTATGCTCTGCCTACCCTCTACGCTTCGCTTAAAAAACTTATTATGCACATTATATTGGCTAGTTACTATATTATACCTAAAATATTGACGTGATACTTTTAGAATAATATTCTTTGTAATTTTATTGATATTTTGCTTCTCTGCATGAATTTTTCATAATAAAAAAATATATGAATGATCTGCAAAATTAATTTTATAATAGAAAACAACAGGGATATTGTAATGAAAAAAAATTATTTTTTATTAACTTTTTTTTAAGTCAAGCAATCAGTATAAAAACATATATATATTGTCATTCCTTTTATCATTCTGAATATTTAATTTTATTTTTCCGAATATAATTTAAATAACCTTATGGCAATGGGCATTCAAAGTTTCAATTTATTATAATAATTCGCAATAAACATCAATACTTTATCATCCTTGATGAAGATATATTAGTGTAATAAAATAGTAATGCTTTTTCACAGTGCCGAATATAAATTGATTCTTTACGCATAATTTCCTCGTATTTTCTGTTTAATTTTATTATTCATGCCTAATAATTAAATTGTAGTTGCAACAAACTGCAATAGATGAAAATATTCCATGGTTAACTTTCGGGCCCTTTTTCACTTTATTATTGATAATTATTTATCTACTCACTGAATGATTTTTCTGGATATTTACGTTATTTGGTATATTAATTAGAATTAAATTTTATTGATTTAAAAAATCAATCTAATATTTATCAGTTCTTAAATATATTACTCGTAACATAATTCCCAAAATTAAATAGCAAATTATATTACTAAAGATATTTATAAGTTTATAATGAAATTATTTTTATTAAATTTGATAACATGAAAAGAAATTACCTATTTTTACGATTTTATATTAAATTAAATAAAATGAATTTATTTCTAAATAAATTCCTACTATTTCCGCTTTGGTGGAGTAATAAAAATATAAAACTGTAAAAATAAGGTGTAGAATCGATGAAGCATAAAAAAATAATATCTGTAAATTTTTCAGGGTACTATGGAGGAAGTAGTACGAGGTGATCCAAAATCATCCCTACTGCAGAAGTTATTATCCGAGTGACTGCAACATAATAAAAATATATATGTAATATATATAATTAAATTTAAAATAAGTTTAACTATACAATGATACACGCTAACTACTCCTGCGTCTGTACACATTCTATACGTAAAAATAAATAATAACTGTACTATATGTAATACTGTACTCATAAAAACAGTATAAAAAATGCGTCACACCAAGTGCATCACCAATTGATAGTTTTGCAATATCTTGAGTTAAATATATTGATAATCATATGTTGATTCATTAAAAAAAATTTTATAAGTAAACCAATTTATTTTGTTTGTGATTTTTTTTCTATTATTATTATAATTATAATAAATATTATAAATAAACCATTTATCATAGATTTCTTGGAGATTGTGATAATTGTTATTCTATTTAATTTCAATGGAGTTTGTATATATTAATTAATGTCAATTAATTAAAGATTGTTTTTAATTAATTGTAAGAAAAGTTACGACTTCTTTTGATATAATAATTGTACGTTATATTTTCAATGAAATATTATCAAATATATTAATAAACTTATAATAATAAAATAAGGTATAGTGAAATTGTTTGCTTAAATTTTTATAAAATGAGTTTTTTTTTTCTGTTATTTATTTATTAAAAAAATATTTGAGGTAAAAAGAAAATAGCAGGAATAAAGCAACGAGTATGAATCACTAGGTATGATGAAATATGAAATAGCTACAAGGTATATGCAACGTCGATTGGTGTAGCTTTTGGTAGCTGATATGCTACGGATTAATGAATGAAAGAAAAACTACGTAGGTACCTCAACGGTATACATTATTATACCACTGGCTGTTGAACATAGAATTATTTATAGGTTTTATTAATTATTGTTTATTATAAAATTATGAACGAATTAATTAATTATTACGATTATTAGTAATATTCTTACAATGTAATCATAAACTATTAATATTATTACAACAACAACAATTACTATTACTATTAATTATTCTATTATCAATATGATTATTATTATCATTAATAATAATATCATTAAGATAATTAATTATTGATATCATCATTATTATATTATATTATATTATATTATTATTACGTACAGAAACAAAAACTATTCTATACAAAAATGAAGAAAATTGCGTTTTTCTTAATTTAACATCTTTCAACTACTATATATATTTTGAATAATATATTTGTGATTGTAAGAATCTGCAACCAAAATGTGACAAAGAAAACTTGTTGTTGTTAATATGATTATTATTAATATTATTATTATTTTATTATTTTATTATTATTGACATTATTACTATTATGATTATCAATATACTTGTTGCAATTATCGTATAATGATCATACTCTGATCGACTACTATCGATTTATCATTGTAATGATTATTATTGTCATTATTATTATGAATATTAATTAATAATTACGATTCTGTTTAATTATAATATTATTATGTTATTGTAACGATATTATTAGTATTGAATTCTATGCGTAAGCGTATTTCAACCACTTTTAAGGGTACCTTTATAAAAAATATTTGCATTCAAGTGTACGTATGTGATATACATATGTATTGGTGATGCATTAAATGTACATATGCATGTGTGCGTGTGCGCGCGTGTGTGTACTAGTAATATTAAAAAAAAATATGTAATGAACGAAATAAGAAAAAAAAGATAAACGATCTTCTATTTTGCATATAGTCTGATAAATATCTCTCTCTTAATGTCTTTGAAGATATCTTGAGTTATCAATTAAAAAAAAGTGAGATGGTGTCAGTTGTTACAAACAAAAAAATTTAAATATAAATCTTATCGTGTATACGATATATATTTATGTAATTTATTTATATAAATATATATGTATATAATATATATTTAATAAAGAAAAAAAATTACAAAATAAAACTAAGAAAACCAGTATGCGCGTACAAATATGCATGCATATTCAATGAAATCTCACGCAAGTGTCCTATTTTTCCATAGAGTTTGTCGGCATTTGTCGTAGTTGAGAATTGCGAGATTTAAAAATAAATAAAAATACAAAAAAAAAAAAACTAAAAACAATTTAACGTTAAAAATGCTACGAGCCAGAATTATTGTAATTTATTCACTATTATTATTGTGGCAATTTAAGAGAGTTCAATTTTTATTATATGAATAAAATATATATAGATATATATATATATATACATAATTGACAACCTATTGATTCTTGTTATCGTTATCTTTTTTGTATTGTAATAAAATAATGTTCTGTAAGGTTGTCATAATATATGTGTATTGTTCTATGTTTTACATTCGAAATTTTTGCAATTATTATGGTATTGTAAAAAAAAAAAAAATACAAAATATTTCATCGACAAATTTGAACGATTCATGTCGAGTAGAAAATAGTTTAATAATATAATATATCTTTGTCTGCACAATTTCGATTTGGAACAAACAAATGAGAAAAATTAAAACAAATAGAGCTATTACTCTTTGGAAATACACATAAGTGAGATACTTTAATTATATACGCAGACATACTTGTACATTTTTTTGTTTTCATAGTTGTATGTCTGAACAAAATATAAGGACAAGACATGCATTTGTGTCCTCGTATAGTATGTGGACTCATGCATGCTTGTGTCTTGGTGTGTATAAAGTGAGTTACAAATACGTCATATAGATAAATCATATGTGCTTTCTAATGATGAATAATTTTATAAATATAAACGTAATACTTATATAATGCTGTCTAAATTTTTTATTCCTTACAGAATAGAATACATCTTAAGAAGAAAATATTTAGCATACCTTTTTTCAATGTCAATTAATTATATCGAATAATTCAGCCAATTTTTCAAATATTCTCTAATTATTGATATTAAATCATTTTTGAAAACATCATCAGACATCATTCTCTTTGATAGAGCTTCAATTGTCATAATTTTGTTTTTAGTCAATAATATTTGTATCTCAGAAGCAAGTTTTATCTGTTGGTCTTCAGTAAGCTCGTTCAATAAAATATCAGGGATGGAACGAAAATTGCCATCACTAGTAGTAGAAGCAGCTCTACTGTATTGTTGCATTTTATCTACTAAATATAGATTTATCAAAATATATAATGCAATCACTTATTTTTGAAAATTTGACTTTAAATATGTGAGTGTGATACCAAGTAAAGCTATTGGATATGTTAAAAGAGACATCCTTAAGGACATTTGAAAAGTATCGAAAAAACCATATCCCCTGCCAATATTGGGATTCATCATAACAGGTAAACTCGCTTCTCTAATCTCACGAAGATCACAAATGATGCTAATTAATTCAGAATTACTGTATGATGATAGGTTCATTTTTTTTAGAATATTTGAAGTATTCTAAGATTTATCTGAAATAAAATATAAACCAATGTGACATTTGATAAAAATAACTATTTACTTCATACACTACGTCTTATAAATGATATTACGCATAAGAATGAAATTTTTACCACTTCAATCTGTATAAAAACAGAATCAATGATGGCGATTTAATATTATAGGAACAGATAGACTAGAGTTATTTAATGTGTATTACTTTTATTAATAATAGATCAATTTCATTATCAGTTCAAGTTTATCTATATTTTATCTATTTTATCAGTTAAACTATCATAAAATTCAACCAATTTTTGTTTCATAATAATTTTTATATTTTTCGTACAAAATGTGCATTAAATTTAAAAACTTATTCATCATATTAATTATTATTTGTTCAGCATATTTGATATGTATAATTCACTTTTTATATAGAAAAATTTAATTCTTTTAAAAACATTTCAATAACTGATCGTAAAGTTTCTCTAAAACCAGCTTCAGACATCATTCTCATTGATAAAGCTGCAACTGTCATTATATTTTCTTGTGATAATAAACTTCGTATAGAGTTAGCGAGTCTTCTTGTTTGCTCTTCGGAAAGATCATTCATCAAAATATCAGGGACTGAACGAAATTCTCCCTCATTAAGAGCAGATGCTGTTACACCAGCTACTATACCACCTAAAAAATGAATGAAATTGAAACTTGCAATGAATTGATATATTTATAAGTGCACTCAAGTCATACCTAGTGCAATGCCTCTAGGACCCAAAAGCAAACCTCCCAAGGTTGCTGCTACTCCAACCATGAGACCCGACGACAAACATTTGTTCACCGTTACTCTCATAGCTTTAATTTCATTGAGTTCACAAATGATGCTAATTAATTCAGAGTTATTGCATGATGACAGGTTCTTTTTTTTAGACATTTTCAGATATCCTAAAAAAAATTTGAAATAAAATATAAATCAATGACACACCGATTAAATTATTTTATGAATTTACTTGATGGATCAACTCTTATAAATAAGGTTATTTATAAAATTATTATTAAATATATATAAAAAGATCTCTTACTGAATATATGTTCATCGAATAAAGCTTTGATTGTGATGCAGCCAAACTTCTCTCAAAACTATTGTGTATGATTCAAAGTATTTTATTATCATAGTATTTATGTGGACTTCCCTTTTGTGCGAGGTTTTTCAGATAAGAAAACTACCAGACTATAGGAACATATAGGAAACACTATTTCATCTTTGTGGCAAAAGATTTTTCGCAATTTTATGCACACAGCTGTATACATATGTTATGTATATATACATTGATAAAGCTCATTTAATATGGAAAGTGAGTCATCTATTCAATTTGCAAAACCAACTACTACCAATCAACACAAATTCAATATGAGTCAAAAACGAATGAATTTTGAAAAAGAATCGATGAGGTGCAGAAAATTAACAAAAAAATGAAAACTTCAAATGAATTAGTCTTTAAATAAATTCACTACTTTTTGAAGTCATTTTATGTTAAATCATAATAATTTATTAATATTTGTTCTACGTGGTTGGCATGGACAATTAAATGTTTAAACACTAGAGTTTAATTTTTTTTTAAATCTGTTGAACTGGAATCATACCTAATGCAAGGCCTCTAGGGCCCAAAAGAAAACCTCTTAAGGTTGCTGCTATTCCAACTATGATACCTGATGAAAAACATTTCTTCGCAGTCACTCTTAAAGCTTTAATTTCACGATCTATTATTTTATATAAATATTCGAGAAAATATCTTAAAAAAAAAACTCCGATATTGCAAAAACAATGATTTACTTTATAAATTAATTCTTTTCTTCTTCTCTTTAATTTTAAAATGATGTACAGAAAAATTTGCTTTCTAAGAAATATATCAAAAACGGATATTCTGTTGATAAATTGGTCTTTTATTTAAGTCACTTTATTACAAAGTTATTTTACATCTGAAAAAATTTTCACTATTAAAATTAAAATTATTTATCAAGTAATACAAACTGTCATGCTCTTTTTTTAGTAGATAACTTTAAATCGTTTTAAGACCTCTCTTGTAAATGTATAGTTAATCTTAAATAACAATACAGTAAGTGAAGTATGATTTTATACAGAAAAAAGCATTAAAATCAAACATTTTAAGCAGTATCAATCAACAAAATTTTTTAAATATTAAAATAGTATAGAGAAATAATACATATGTATAAAACTCATTACATTAACTTTAGATATCCAATAAATGTATAGCCATTGTTATCGTTTTCCAAGAGCATCTGTGTCCAAAGCTGAAAAATTAAATATATTAAAATAAGCATCATTTAAACTATGTTAATGGAGATGAAAATTTTTTTTAATTAGTTTTACGTACTTTTTCCATCACAGGCAACAATTTTAACTTTTCCAACATTAGCCACTTCTTGAACTTCTCTAAATTCAACATCATTCAACATAAAAGTCCACACATTATCACAAAACCGGTAGGTGTTGAGTTTTCCAGCCTATGTATAAAACATGAGAAGATGAATAAATTAATTAACTTATAATATTAAACTTTACTTCGTTTGCCAAGATATCAGTTATTTATTTTACTTACTTTGAATGTTAATCGAGATCTCACTCGATTGGCAAGAGCTTGGTTAATAGCCTTGTCGAATTGTAGTAAAACCTTGATTGCAAGTTGAGGAGTGATTTGTCCATACTATGAAAAACAAAATGAATAATAAATAAGCAACATTGTCATAATTATCAATTACTTAATTAAGTAATAGCGTTGTCAGTTACATACCTGAATAAGCTCGTCTAAACTTTCTTGAAGAGTATTACCTAATGTTGTATTTCTGTATAGTTGATAAGACATTTTTTATTATAAATATTAAAAATATATTTAAGATTAATCCTAAAATATTTTGTTTAATTATTTTTTGATTTATGTTATTATCTTGTGAAAGTAAATAGCGACGTGTTACTCCAAATTACAGAAAAACGTAAACCATGAAGTTAGGAGTTAATGGTGTAAATTCTGTGACATTTAATCTGAAGTTGACTGCTTCTAACTTCTTAAAGCACTATTTTCATTGAAGCCGAAATCTCAGCTATTTCTAACCTGTAAATTAATTAGTAAATACTAAATTTCCCATATACCAGTTTTTAATTATAATACAATTATGGGACAAATTAAATAAGTTCTACACAATTCAGAATATTTTATCATTCATAAATTACAGATATTGATTTTTCAATAAAGATTAATTTTGGCAGCTGAAATATTTTATCTCAAAAAATTTGTTGGTATGTATCAAATACAATCTGCATGTTCTTTCGCGCCTAATGAAATGAGTACAGATTTATATTTTATTGTAACAAATAGTACATTTTTATGAATATTCTTTACATTTCATAATTTTATCTTGAATTTTCTATTGTACTTTTACGTCCTTACAACTTATAATACTTTATTTGTTGCTTATTATATTGATATTAATTACTTAACTTTGATTCAGTAATGTATTGTATTCCTTTATTGACAGACTAACTGCAGATTTAAATATAATTAATATTCGCTAACGCAAAATAACTGTTTGGAAGATGTAAATAAAATATTAATAACTCTATTTTATGGAAACTTTTCTGCAGTACGACAAATCGTATAAAAATGTCAAACGTAAGTTCTACGTGTTATTTATAGATTGCAATTATTATGACGTTATTTCTTTCTAAATCTAGATTTTTTTTTAGGATATCAAGTATATGTAAAATTCATCTGAATGGAAAGAGTAAGGGAATCTAACTGCTATTTTTTATATCATATTGAAGTAAATTTATATGTTCAAAATGTTCGAAATTTTCAAAAGTTTGTTCGGGTGGATTGACGGGCTTTCGAGGAAGAGACGAGTTTCAGAAGTAGACTCTGACTCGACCAATGAATTTGCAACTCCATCAAAAAGGCATTGTCGTAACCATCTGAATAGTATGAAAAATAGCCGGGATATAATAGAGATCGAAGATGACGATGACGATGATGTCCAAGTTTATGAAGAAAAAATGTTCAACTCAAAGCCAAATAATCGTAGACCTTCCTGTTCTATTGGTGTAAATAGAAATACTATTCATAATAATCATAACAGTTCTCAATTTTCAAGAGGCTCATTAGATTATTCAGTCATTAAACCAACACATTTTTACGGTAAACACTTGCTTAATTCTAAACATGATTTTTTTAAACAGTCAACTTTGAGCAAGACTTATCAGCTGCAAGAAAAAGAGCAATACGGAAAGCTGTTGAGATCATTTCTTCCTCAAAGAATACAAGTCATACATTCAAAAACCAATAATAGGCGATCCCAGAAACCTATCGAAGTTATTGACATTGAAAGTGATCCGTCAATATCTTCAATAAAAGAGCCAGAGGTCTTTTCAACTCCAAAATATACTACACCTTCGAGATACTTTACTCCAATGGGTAAATCGTGGACAAAGCCTGCAGCGAGGCGTCAAAGTTCTGTTGAAGAAATTATCAAAATCGACGGAAATGATATTTCAAATAAAACGTTGGCTGCTTCAGCTGCAGTCAAAGATAAAACCTCACCGAAAGTTATTCCTGAAATTATAGTAATCTCACCAGAAGAAGTAACTACAAATTCTCTTCGAGATAGACTATCGACGAAGACTGTATTGAAGAAAGATTATATTCCTCGAGTTTCTGAACAATATAATGAACGAATGAAACAAAAATGTCAAGAAGCCGAGGAGTTAAAGAAAACGATGCACATATTAGCAAAGCGGAATCGTATGGCCCGTCAGATATCTCTTGAGCAGCAGCTTTCACAATCAATGAAACTCTATGACGAAATTGTAATAGACGATCAGTTTCTTGATGAACCAAGCTTACCAGAGCTTACGGATCCTATGCTTGCTGAAGTGAGAAACGCTTTGAATCTACGGCCTCCTGATGAAGTCTTAGTAGAAAGTTTCGGTTTAAGAATAACGAGAAAAGATATTCATACTTTGGCTGGATTAAACTGGCTTAATGATGAAGTAATCAACTTTTACATGAATTTATTAATTGCCAGAGGTGAAAATGAAAAATACCCATCGGTTTATGCAATGAACACATTTTTTTATCCTAAATTAATATCAGGTGGTCATTCATCATTAAAAAGATGGACACGAAAAGTCGATATTTTTGCTAAAGATATTATTGTGGTTCCTGTACATCTTGGTATGCATTGGGTTATGTCTATTATAGACTTTAGAGATAAATCGATACGATACTATGATAGTATGGGTGGTAAGAATCCTAAATGTTTGGTTGCTTTGAGAAAATATCTTGAAGATGAAAGCTTAGACAAAAAGAAAAAATCTTTCGATACTAGTGATTGGACGTTAGAAAATATGGAAAACATTCCTCAACAAATGAATGGAAGTGATTGTGGCGTATTTTCTTGTACGTTTGCTGAATTCATTTGTGCTAATAGAGAGTTAACATTTTCACAAGACAATATGCCGTATTTTCGAAATAAAATGGTTTATGAAATACTTAATGTCAAACTTTTGTAGTTCAGAAAAAACATAGTTTTTAAATTTTCCATTTTGAGTTTATAATTTATTATTAACAAAATAAAAAAAAAATATCTAGTGATTTTATGTATTTAAAATGTTCTTCTTTAATAAATAATTTTTGAAATTTTTCTTGTAACTTTGACAAAAAGGTCTTTACTGTGAATGAGTCCATTCAATAATTTGATAAGGTATTCATACGATTATATGCTAGCTGATGATATAATAAAAATAGAATTATCATCAAGTATCATTTTTATTCCTATGTTAAATGCAATATATGATAATAAAAAAAAAACATTTATAATACAGGCACAAACATCAAAATGTTATTTATTTCTCGGTAAGAATCAAACATGCATTATTTCGCTTACTTTACATTGTTTACAATAAAAATAGCACAATTTTTAGTTTGTTACTTTTTTTCGTACATAAAAAAGTATTCGATAAGTTGGTGTAATTTTCTACAATCAAAAATGATAGGAATAAAAATAAACATTTACAAATAAACTATGTAAATAATTATATTACAAATAATGAGTAATGTGCGATTGATGAGCGTTAAAAAATTAAAAACTAAATAATTAATTCACATGGTCGATTGATTAAATAACTAATTCGTTAGCACATACATTTGAATCACAAACGGAGAATAAAAAATTTTGTGTGAAAGTTTTGTTTTTTTTTTTTATTCTGGACGGGTGCAATTTTCTGTACACAGTAAAAATTTGTGATAATTTCAGATAGTTTATATGTTAAAAACGGTCTATTAAATATGTACTGAATTTTATTTATATTTTATTAGATTGATTACTTTGTCACAATCATTATTTTCAAGCAGACAGTAAATTAAAAGTTAGAAATTATCTTCTAAAAAATCCACTGTATCACATCTTACCGTTTTTAACGGATACATATAAACTCTTGAAAGTGTATTATGATAAATTTAATTCATTGGGTTCTTTTAAAAATTTATTTTTTTCTAACAAAATATAAAAAAACAATGTGCGTTATTTAATCTTAAAATATGTCATTATTATTCTATTTATAATACAAAACGGATGATAAAATTTTTTTGTCGAAAGATGATTGTGAAATTTTGTGTGTTTCTGTAATCGAGCAAACTCATATTTAAAGAGTATTAAAAAGGAGACTCACAAGGTTTCATAACATAATTTACTAATAATCAATTATCAATTATTAGTTAATAATTGTAGTGAATAAGCAAAATGTTCTTATAATTAATACAATGTCTATACATAGTCTTGTACAATGACTTTTCTTTCGTTTTTTCATTAGGTCCAATAACACGAAATATCTAAATAGTCGTACTTTTTATTTCATTTATTAAAATCGACGTGCAGTCAGAATTTTTTTTGTGTCATTGAGCTGCTCTTATCATTACTGTTTATTTATTAATTTATCTGTAGTGTAGAGTAATTTTATTTTAATTTAATCATTTTATTATCTATTCCTAAAGTTAATAGTGATCAAACTAGGTTTATTTCAAGTTGAATGGTTCTTTGATATGAACTACACGCCATAAACCTGTACGGCTACACATTTCACTAACATAAGTCACTATGAGCTTTTGTAATTGTCACGTAATAATTAATTAAAAATAAAACTAGGCAACAAAAATTAAATTTTTGTTGTTATAAAGCACTTAAATAGTACGTAATTATTCATTGCATTATTTCAAATAATTTTAGTACGATTGCATTTTCTTATAGGAATATACATGTAGTGTAATATGGTGTATAATTATATATACAATTGCAAATCAAGATTAAACAAAATTATAACGAAGAATCAGATTTCAAGGGTAAATATGTACATATGTACGCTAAGCATCTAAAGATGCTTTTACGGTGCATTAGAAGTCTAAACTAACGAGTCGAGCACTCGAATGTGATAAAAATAAAGCTTTTTAGCAATAAATAAAGTAAAAACAATTTTGTTCCATAGCTATATAACTAATAATTTAAATAATAATTTGGATAACATTTTCAGATGATCACAATTTTTTTTAAAACTATATTAAAAGATTTTAACACAGACATTGTTTATAAATATAACAATTAATGAATACATCACCAAATAATGCTCGATTCGACGTTTGACAGACTTTACAGCGAGCTTTGACTTAACATCATAATTATAATAATATATTATTATATGAAATATTACATGACGTATTGAGAATATACGTCGTATGAATACTAGCTTTGATTCGATTAATATTTATATCGTAAAATTAGTTTGGCGCCTCTTTAATATTATATTCTAATTAACTCAATAATTAATTATTTAATCATCTGTACTAATCGATAATAATAATCCTCTCTACACTTGTTCAGTGAGCAATACAAATTAAATCAGCCATCATTGCGTACACGCAATCAAATAGTATACTAATCTCTAGATTATTACACTATTTGATTTTTAATAAAAAATGCAATAATTAGTTTAAAGTTTGAAACGAATAAAAGTATGTAGTAAAAAAAAAAAAAAAAACATAATCACAGCTTAATTGGCAGGCAGCAGGCGGACATTTCGGTCAGGCACATACTGCCAGAACTCGATTTCTTTTCTTTTTATTCCAACTATTCTTCTTTTTACTCCTCCTTTACAATCCCATTAGATTATTTAATTCTTTAACTCTTTTACAAAAAGTTAACTGCCCTTTTTTTTAAACATAGTCGTTTGTTCCTGGACTGGTCAATGGCTCTTGTGCCTGTAAATTAAATTTTAATCAAATAATGTGGATACCATGTGTTTGATATCAGCTTTAATTTAATAGTAAGAAAAAAATTCTTCATTTATTGAAAAATTTTGTACCACTAATTTTTTAAAGTCAATTTAAATCATTTTAACATCTTGAATCATCGTTTAAGGTTTAAATGAATCTTAATAAACTTAATTACTTCAATTATTATCTGTACACAATTTTAATAAGAGTAAATGAATATTCTGTGAATTTAGGCGAATATGAAGCACAAAAGCATTATAACTTGATTGCTATTGATATTGAATAGACCATAAAATCATGTCCATACTCGAATTGACTACTAAAATTCTTGTAATAGCTTAAAATTCATGTTATTACTTTATGGAGAAAAAAGTTTCTGTCCTCGTTAAATCATGTCTAACTCAATGTTTTAATAGATTCATCAGAAACTAATGTGAATTGACAATTCAATAATTGATGAAATTAACTCAGTTATTTCAGATTAATAAAAAAATATATCCAGAGTTTGAAACAATATTGGAGCGAATAGTGCACCAGCAGCATAAAATGGTGATAGTTCGATTGTATAAGTTCTAGGAAAATTAGGTTTTAAATTGTTTTTAGGATTAGATTAATGGTGTTAGACGATGAAAGGGTTTGAATTTTTCATGAAGAAAAATTTTCTTGATGAAAAAGTGAATAAAAAATGAATATTTCATTACCTCCTCTCCAACTGTTGCCGTTGGTAGTGGGAACCTATTTTTCTCAAGACTAAATTGATCTTCAGTAGTTTTTCTGTACACTGGATTATCGAAATTCATGCTAGTGACATTACGGTGAAGGTAATGCCTATAGCAAAGCACTGCAACTAGTGCGAGCAGTAGAAGACCTAAGGTTACTACTCCTATGACTATACCAGCGACCAAGCCTGGATCTGTTGGCTCGTTGCCGAGATTACTGTTTCCATTCGCATCAGTTGCATCTGTAGGACCTGCAACTATAATTCTCGTTGAATTGCGGTTATAATATTACACGACAATGTAGTTTTATAAATCGCGAATGAGATTATTGCATGGTGATAAGATAAAACTTTTTTTATATCCAAAATTATTCTACTAAAAATGTATTTTATCTTATTCGTGATCCATATGGTCCAAAGTGTCGTTATATAAATCATGCACATATCCAATATATTCAATAAATACCCCAATTATTATTTAATTCTACAATATTAATTGCTGATACCGGGATCAAGAGATTACTAGTATTTGTTGAATTGATTACTTCAAATGAATGAAAATGATTAAAGTAATGCTAATGTATTAAATGAGTTCTATCTCACACCATGTTAATTAGGGGTAGTCTTTAGAATGTTAAATTCTTTTATAATTGGAATACTTATTGTGCCTAATTATAAAAAATTCTTTAAATTACACCCACGAATTCTCTCTGATCTTACCAGTACTTGTGGGCTCAAGTTTTTTAAACGGCCTCGTAGATTCTTGTGTTGTGGGTGCCACTGTTGTCGTTACTGGAGTTCCCAATATTTTTTTTTCATGCACCATCGATGCAAATAATAAATACAAAATAATAAACAAAATTAGAATGAGAACTAAAATTAGAATAATATGAAATAAGCAGTAAATTATTTTTGCCCAAATTAAATTTCATTGAATAACTTTGATAAAGTGCATAAAAGAGATAGACGTATCAAATTAAATGTTAAATTAAATTAGTTTTACTGAATATAATTCAATCATAATGCAAGTATTTTTTCAGTAGACTAATTAATTAACTAGTCTTTTAAAATTAAAAAAAAAATTCCATAAACAGATATCCATTATCAATCATATTACTCATTCAAAATATTTGCATTATATTTGAAAATAGTAAAGAAATAACTAATCGATAAGATAAATTTTGAACGTTGATGTTACGTTTCCCTTGAATAACTTTCAAATATGTATCTACATGCAAATCGTTCTTTGGTAATATTCTTGCGGAAGATTCAATATTTGAGATGCATTCGACCGCTAAGAGAAGCATTAGATGCACCAAAGAGCTTAATAAAATCCACTCACCGTTTTCGACGCACATGAGACCATCGGGCAATAATCTTAAACCGTCAGGACAAGCACAGCTGAGTAAGGGAGATCGTGAATTTATTCTTGGAGCAGGTAGACATAAATGACTGCAGTGTCCATTAACTGCTTGGCACTGATTCGTTCCGTCAGGTTGTCTGTAGGGATGATAAACGTGAACGACCATCGGATTCTGTTGTGATCTTAGTGGCGTTACGGCTTTGACTTCCTTGCCAGTGAATTTATTTGCTTTGAATATCGTCTGTTTGTCCCAATCTGACCAATATACGAAATCTTCGAATGTTGTGATACTGAATGGATGTCTTAAATGGTCTTGGGAATATAAAACAGTTCTCCTAGCACTTCCATCGTAGTTGCAAGATGCTATGATGTGTAATTTCGCGTCTACCCAATAAACTTTCCGTCCTATTAAATCCAGAGTCAGGCCATTTGGCCAAGTCACTTCACTTCCAACTATCACCTAGAAAAAGAATTGCAAGAGATAAGTAAATTATTGAACTGACAATTGATATTAGAAAATAATCAGTACGGTTATAAATTTTTTCTAAAGAAATCGATTGAACTAAATAGAGAACATGGAAAATAAATTTATTCTTGATATAAATTTTTTGTATTAATTTATAAAAAAAAGAAGTGAATCGATAGCAATGAGGTCATTTTCAACCAATACTGAAATTATTGGTAACGTCAATCATCTAAAATGAAAACTTAATAAATTATCTCACCGATCGATGAGAGCCGTCCATTCCAGCTCTCTCGATACGAGCTTCATCACCCCAATCTGTCCAGAACATCCAACCTTCCAATGGATTCAACGCGATTGCCCTCGGTTCTTGAATCTGGTCCTTTATTAATGTTTTACGCATGTTGCCTTCAAAATTAGCTATCTCGATAGTATTTTTACCAGCGTCAGTCCAATATATATGATTATATATCCAATCTACTGCCAAACCATCAGTTGTTGTTGAATCCTTATCAATAACAACTGTACGTTCGTTTCCTTCATCTATCGGAGCTTTGTAAATTTTTTTTTCATTCACGTCACTCCAGAATATCATTCCTGTTCGAAATACAAAGTCAAGAGCCGTAGCCATTTTTGTATTGTTAACGATAGCAGTCATTTCCTGACGGTCTAGAGCTACTTTTCTGATATCATGTCTTCGTGCAAAGAGTAGACTTGCATGTCCTTCTGCTGCTTTACATCTTGTCACGTTCTTTGGATCCCGCAAATACCCTGGTGCACAGCTGCATTTAAATGTTCCTTTTTCATTGAGGCAATATTGTGAGCAGCTTCCTGGTTCCAAGCACTCGTCCACATCTGCAAATAAATTTTATTGATCAGAGTCATCAGCTTGTGTACAAAGCAATCGACAAATGTTTTTAATCTGTCGATTAAAATTCATGACCATTAAATATTCATGTGGAATATTTATCTATGGAACTGGGAAACATGTAGGTTGTCTCTTACCATCGCACGTGCGATTGTCAATGAGTCGATATCCAGGTCGACAATCGCATCGATATCCAATTGGCATATCAACACAAATCTGTGTGCATCCACCGTTGTTCTTCAAACATTCATTAACACCACACCGTTCTCGACTCTCGTCTTCCCAGCCAATACAATCACGTTGCTTATCACAAACGTGACTCAATGGGATGCAGGAGCCTTCGCTGCACTCGAATTGAGTCTGTGCATCACAAGAAGATATCTTTGACGTACAATTTTTCTCGTCACTGCCGTCTTTGCAGTCTTGCTTATCATCACAATATGAGTGCCCTAAAATTAAATCAAATTTTATCATTAATTTCATCTTTTAATAATATTATTCGTTGAATAAAAAAGTCCTATCTGCTCCGAAATAATTTAATATTAAATATTACATCATACAGTAATATTTTATCTCATCTTGGTTTTCTCATTTGTTATTTTATTTTTCAATCTTCTCAAAATGAGGATAAATTTAATTTTCATTAATTATTTAATTGATTAATTAGTTAATGTACTTTGCGAAGAGAATGAATCTTAGAGTATTATGTTATATCCATGTAAATGTATTCAACTTAAACCCTTTACTGAACAAATATGTACTTTGCATACTTTGAAAAAAATTACTAAACGTTAACATCTAATCTTTTATTCAAATATTGATGTCGTACTTGGACTTCTTCAAAAGTACTTTATCATATTTATATTAAAGTTTATGATAAATTTAAAGTTGTGTCTATTTATTATTTGAATGTTGTGTAATTGAAAATGATAGAAAAAAACACTTGACATTTTTTTATAGCAGTTTCAACTCCATTACTTGATTCTTTTTATTATTTTTTTGTCACATTGATTCATTTAAATTTTTTATTCTGTAAGATGTCTGTGGAATATTAAAAAAAAGTGCAAACTGTTTAATTTTAAGAAGGGGGTTTTTTTAATCAAAAAAAGTTTCCAAGAGAAACATTGAAATAACGACTTTAGCCAAAACTGGGATTACAAGCAAACTCTTCCCAAATGAATTTGCACATACTGTTCACTCTTCAGGATTCAGAGTAATTACCCTGAATGTTGAGTGACCTACTTGTAACCTAAGAACAACTTTGATAAAAAAATTTTTTTATCAAGTTTTTTGGAGCAGTAACTACAAAATTAAAGCCAAAATATTTGGTGGCATAATACCCAAGTAAATCTGAATGGTTTCAAGAACTTGAAGTAATTTAATCAATTTTTTTCCATTACCTGAAATACACGTGTGATCTCCACACTGAAATTGATCAGCTCTACATGTGACATTGCGACACCTTTCTGGAGATTCATCAGATCCATTAGGACAGTCTTTCTCGTTATCACAGACCCAACTCTGGTGAATGCAAGTAAAAGGGTCTCCACAATGGAATTCATGTTCAGCACAATGGCTTGAGTGTTCACCGCGTGACACGTCTTTGCATCCTATCTCGTCAGAGTGATCCGGACAATCAAAGTCTCCATCACATCTCCACCTTGCAGTAATGCAGTATCCTTGAGAGCAAGCAAAATCCGTATCCGGTCTACATGTTGTCGGTGGACAATCTTTTTCATCACTTCCATCGTCGCAATCTGCATCTTGATCGCACACCCAATTACTTTGAATGCATTTCTTATCAGCACAAGTGAACTGATCCGAACGACAAGTTTCATCTAGTAAATAAGAATATTTTCAGTCAAGTACATTATTTATATGTATGATCTTTCTTATTGAATATTTTTTCGTGCTGGAAAAAGTTGAGAGTGATTGAAATAAATTGAAAAAAGGTATAAAACAAAAGTGTGCCATTTAGACTATCTTGAAAACGAATTTTTTTATTATAAAGAAACGTATGAAAAACTTTTCGTTCGCAGAAACAATATATATAATGAAATGAATCAAATAATAATAGAGTGGCGAAAAACTGTAAGACGTAGAAATGTGCATAACTTCTGTGTTAATGATGTTATTGGGTTGATCGAGGGTTCATTTGAAAGATTTCGACGGACAGGAAAAAGTGGATATGGTTAAAATCATCAGTGGAGAATAATTTATGCAAAAATTTTCGCAAGTTCCCGTTTTACCCCATTTTAGGAATGAAATAATTAATTTTTTAAAAGTTGGACCTGATTCCGCATTTCTACGCATTGAGACGAAGAGAATGAGTGGTCGAACTTGAAAATCGGACAACTTTGATTTTTCGACCCAAAAAAATGGCAAGTGGTACCCCTTTCCATTTTTTTTGGCCAAAAAATAAAAGTACTCCGATTTTCAAGTTTGACCACTCATTCTCTTCGTCTTGATGCGTAGAAATGCGGAATCGGGGCACCGTCCAGAAAAACTCACTTTAACACCCTTAAAAAGGGGTAAAACTAAATACACAATACGAATTATCATCCCCTTGACTTTAAACCCCTATAACTCATGAACGGACGGTCCAATAACTGTTTTTAAGGACGTTTTTGAAACCTTAGAATCTGAACTATCTAACAATATCCATGAATTTATTGGAAAAAATTTTTTTCACCCTTAAAATCGCTAAAATATGAAAAAAATTACATTTTTTTGGGAGTTTGCCAACTATTTTGGCAATTTTAAAGGTGAAATAAATTTTTAAGACTTTGTTTATGGATATGTATCTTTAGCTTAGATTCTGAAGTTTCCAAAAAGCTCCTAAAAATTATTATTTGATGAATTGTATGAGAGTTATAGAGGTCCAAAGTCGAGTAAAGGTCAAAAAATCATCTACTTTTGAACTTGGGACCTCTATAACTCTCATATTGTTTCTGCGAACGAAAAGTTTTTCATACGTTTCTTTACAATAAAAAAATTTTTCTTATCAGAAACATGCATTTTCCGAGAAGTAAAAAGTTGCAACAACAATTATGCCAATATTTTAGCAAGAAATAAAGACAAATTTTTTCTCGAAATCGTTTAAAAAACGAAATACTTTGCATTTAAAATTTAAAATACTGAATAAATTACATGCTATCTATTGAAAAAATAAAAAAAAGTAGTTTATCGATAAATAAAATATAGAGACTGATAATATTTTCATGTATTTTTATCACTTAAAAAAATTCAATTGATAAAGAGATTTTTTTTCAGAAAGAAGGAAGAAGTTATTTGAATTTTTTTGTATCGTTTTCTGTGCCAATTAAAGAAGAAAGTAAAGTCGATAAAAAAAATTGTATCAATTTAAAATTGCACATTAAAGGAAAAAATAAGCTTTTGTGCTTGGTAAAGTGAGAATGTACTATAGAAAGAGACTAAAGTTTTATGAGAGAAATGTAAAAGCTAGTATAAATACAGACATTTACTTTGAACTTTTGCAATTGTGACTCTCAACAATATACTATATCGTCATTTTTTTTTGTATCCATGTACACATATGCTAATAATACAAATACATAAAAATATCATAGCCTACGTGATTATAGAACAGAAGCAGGAAATTCAAGAGAGTTTCATTTTACATTTACTATCGATAATACGTCCAATATTGGTATTTAAATATAGAACTGTAGTACTACTGAGCACCTTGGGATTCTGTAAATTCTACGGAAAAGACAACAGACGGGAAAAACGAAAAGTTTACTTTTAATTAACTGTCATATAAATTGATCGAGTAATTTCCATTGTTTCTTGAGAGTTATTAAAAAGGGCTAATTCATACCAGTAAATTTTCACAACAATTTATAACTTTTCTTTGAATTTTAAATTTATAACTCGTTTAAAACTTTAAATTGGCTATTTTGTTGAAAAATCATTAGCACAAAAGACGACGAGAAAATAAAAAAAGATCTACTGACCAATTTTATCACTGAAGAAAAATTTATTTTCAAGAAAAAATGAAAATTTTTTTATTCCCTACAACCTAGTAGCAGGAAAAAAAAATTTCAATGAAGTTAAAAAAGCTTTAAATATAAAATCTTCGATATGAGTTTTCCCCATTAGAACAAAGCATGACGTTGCTTCTTTAGAGTTTCAATTTAAAAAAAAAAAAAAGGCATGAATTATTAAATACATATGACCTATAAAGTAAATTAAAATTATTGATTAAAATAATGAGTGTTATTTTAGTCAGTATATTAATAAGTAAACTAGTTAAGGCATGAAATCATGACTGCAAAAGTGGTGATAACAAATTAGAAGGTCATGGTTAGACAGATCATGCAAGGAATGGACGAGGGGTGGTGAAAGTTTAACAAGCAAGTTTGCGTGTATCCTTGAGGGAAGAAATGTATGAACAAATATGACGTAGAAGGTCCGTGAAGTTCTCCAAAGGTCAATAGAAACACATTTATATGTCGGTGCATATAGAGTAAGTTAGATTAGGGTTCTTCAAGACTGTGCATTTGTGATAATCCAGGGTCATTGTGGAATTCAATATATAGATAGGGATTGAAGGAATATGTATATAAAGGAAGAGAGATAGGAGGTCTATGTGTATTATGTATAGTACAAAAGCATTCATGCTGATGCATATTAAGCAGCTTACTGCAGTCAGCCTCATCAGACTCATCTGAGCAGTCTGGGTTATCGTCGCACATCCAAGCCAATGCCACGCATTCACCATTTCCCGATCGGCATGTGAACTGATCCACTGTGCAATTCTTGGCACCTATAAATGGTCAGAGTTATCGACGCTAATGAGCACCATCATGATTATTATTATGATGAATTATTATTATTGTTATCATCATTATGTTTATTATATGATAACAAATTTATTTAGATCATTAATAATTCATACAGTAAATATACCAACGTATCATGCTATGCTGTGATTAATTAATTAATGGATTCATGTGAAAGTTTCCACATATCAACTACATATCCAGTCAATTTACATGTTTAATTATATTTTTTACATACACTAGTTCTGAAAATATTTCGAGGGCCAGTAATTGATGCTGGTCGTTTTGAATCTCTCAATCAAAAATTTTAATTAGAGAAATATTCTCATGTTTTGTAATAAAAAAATATTATATACATTTTTAAATAATTTTTTTATTTTTATGAATTCAAATTCATGAGATACCTGAAAAATATAAAAATATTACGCCAAGTAATCCATACTAAAGGTCACGTTTTCATATTTTTTAAAACTTTTAACTCTCAATGATAGCTTTTTTTTGTTTTTTATTTATTCGAAATAAAAAAAAAAATCATAATCAAGAACTTTATCGTTACAGCAAAGTACTAGTCGGATTATTTAAAAAAATATAACAAATGAGAGAATCTAGTGAGTTAGATAATTTTTTTTAAAAAACATTCATAAATTTTTTTCACAATTATTTTGTTAATTTTTTTCAATTATTTTTATTCCGAGTGAACAAAACGATTATCTATGATACAATAAACTCTCTGGAATAAAATTTTAAACTTTTTTCATGGTAAATTTAATGTAATGTAAAAAATAACTCGCTATGATAATAGCATTGTAAAGTAACAATTAAAAGAAAAATAAATGTAGGAATTTTTTTTTTTCAAATCTCTAGATATTCGTTGAAGACAATTAGAGCAATCATTTTGATAAAAATAATTCATATTAAGAAAAAAAAAAAAGTAATGAATTTAATTAAATGAAAGCGCAGAAAAATGAGAAAACTTTTTCCTCAATCCATTAATTAACGTTAATAGTATTATTATTTTAATGGTTGTTTTATAATAATAATAATGATTATTATGAAATAAATGCCCTAGAAAGACAAGTAAGGTATATTTCTACAAAAAGATATTGGTCTGATGAATTTTTTAACACTATCGTCTATTCCGTAGTTTATTTTAGCAATCTTCTTGTCTCTTAGATACTCTCTCAGAACTTTTCCATATCTCCTGCACCTCCTTCTTAGCTGTTTCATTTCAACATTCATTTTTAACTTACTCTGACAATTCTTCTCGTCTTCTCCATTCTGACAATCATTTTGATGATCACAAACCCAAGATTTAGCTATACATTCTCCTGGACTACACTGGAATTCTGTCTCAGCACATGGTCTCAATCCTTATTAATTTATTTTTTAATTAATAATACATTCATTTTATCGAAATAATTATCAAAAAGTCATAAACTAATTATAGCTTGTATGATTAAATTATTAAATGTCATATGAAATATTTCTCGTAACTCGTGCGCCTAATGAATGAATTTAATTATATATATTAAATAAAATAAATTGACTTTTACAGTATTGTAAATAGATTCAGTAATTTTCATTGCATCATCATTGGCAAGTAATCAAACTGGCAATTAGAGTGGAACTCTGATCTCAATACATTTAAAATAAACACAACAACAAATAAACAGTGAATGAAATCAAATTAACATGAGGAAATATATTTATTAACTCATCGACTTAATCATCATTTACTTATTAATATGATTTGTATAAATAATTTTATAATTAGTCTATTACTTGATAAAACGATGAATTTTTTATGTCAAATAATTTATTTTATTACTATACAATTTAATTATCGTAGTTAAACTACTATTAAATAGTTATTGGGATGCAACAGAAGAGTAAGTAAGGATTCAGATTAAATTACTATCGATACCCTTTATATTAATTGCAAAGTTTTCGTCTCCATTTAATAGCATCTAAATTATGACGAAGCATCCAATCAAGTTTTAATTGAAATTGAATATTGATTGTCTTAAGAAAATTAACAAAAACATTAAGAACTTAATTATAATATTTTTTGTTGTTTAATCATTTGAATACTTCTTTCATATTGCTCTGTGAATTATAAAAGGAATCGAAACTCTGCTCGATGACCCGAGAATTCAATCAAGTAAGTAAATATGGTTTACGTATGTATTTTTGTATCAGCATAAAAATGAATTGTGCAATTTGTTATCAGTCGATGCCATCAATTCAATGCATTTCCTCATTATCTATAACAAATAGATATACGCATGCATACTCGTCAAATAGTTTTAGTTGTTAATAAAATTACGAAAGAAATATCAATACAATTTCCTTTTATTTTTATCTCTCTACCACTTTTATTCCTATTATTTATTCATAATATCGATGAAAATATTTTTATTGCCTGTTTAATCGATAATATAATTACTATAAAATAAATAACTAATTAAATTACCACGAGATAATGTGGATTGTAAATTTTTATTCAATATTTTCTTCATCATTATCAACATAGATTGTTGTTCATATGAGAAGAGTTCTTTATTGTTTACTGAGGTAAGAAATAAAGATTGAGAAATAAACAGTTTTAATTGTTTATAAAGATAGAAAAGTTTAATGGAAACATGAGTGAATAAATAAATAAACAATCATATAAATATCAAAGTGCATACTTAATGATTCCTCGCGGAAGTTATTGCTATAATAAAAATAAAAAAAAAATATTCGCGCATGTCTGTATTATATAGATATATGTATCGAGCTCATTGCTGCTGAATAAGCAAAACTATTTCCCTATCTTTGCTATGCTCTATGCTCTGCTACGTCAACTAAGGTATACTGTAGAAAAATATTCTCTCAAAAATATCAAGTTGAGAGAATTATTGTTGTTGTGCTATTGGATTTTTAACAAATATAAGACATTGAATTATACTAGAGTATATTTGAGTTTTAGTGCATATATAATTCAATTTATACACAATCTTTTCTTGTAAATGTCGTCTAAGATATACATGTTGTACTTGGGTGCTAGAGATCGCTCGATTGGCCCTTACTTGCTATCATTAACCCTGCCACTTCCTGCTCTCGTATTCCATGCAAATGCCTTGACGTGTACATTTGTCTTGATGTACATAATTTTTCAAAGTAAAAAACTGTCTCAGGATAATGTTTAAGAGCTTATAAATTTGCTCTAATTTTTTTATTGAAGTTTTCAAGAGCTGTTATGCATTTTAACCATTAAAAAAAAAACGTCACTTTTTCTTATAAATAAGAATTTTAATATATTATAAATAAAAGAAAATATTTTTTTTTTGTAAATACTCTATTATGTTAAGTATCTAAGTTGTAAAATTATAATAAATAATAAATAGTATGTGATATTTTATGAATTTTTTTCAATTGAAAATCTAGTGTCAAGAAAAATGGCTTCGATGTCTGAATTTTGTTCACGCCATTATTTCTACTGTCTCTGAACACTTTTGCAAGAGAAAAATTATGATGTAATTTTTCTCAAGTCTTTCATCTTTTTCTTCAAAGTAAAACTATGATAATAAATAGATTTTTTTTATACTTAAAATATTAATTTTGATTCATTTTAATTTAATATTTTTATAAGTAAAGAAGAAAAGGACATTATGAATTTTTTATTTTCTATCCTCAAGCTTTTGTTTTGATGTCAAGAATTCATTGATTATCTCAAAGCAATTTTTTTCTTTTAAAATAACATTTACAATTCGTAATTAAAAATTTTACAATCTATATATTTGAAAATGTGAAAAAAGCGTGTAGCATTAATAAATAAATGTCGACAAACGTGTTGAAGTTTAATTCAAACTTTGAAATTCACAGAAGAGTTGATTTATATTATTTAAATAAATAAAAGCAAAAAATTTATGTGGAATTAGAGTGGAATAAATTTGATGAAAAAACGTATATGTAGCGGTAGAGGTAAAAAAATAGTCAAAAGGAAAATGCACTGTCTGTAAAAAAATGATAAAATAAAATATTTATCTTGGAACTTACGGCAGACAGTAGAGTCTTCATCAGATCCATCAGAGCAGTCAGACTCGTTGTCACAGTGCCAATGTCCAGGTATGCACTTTCCGTTTTTGCACTTGAATTCCGTATCCTTGCAAGATTCAGCTGGAAATTCATGATCATAATGATCAATACTATGCCCAATTGTCGCAATACACAATATAAAATAGCACAAATTTAACATCAAAAAAATATCGAGTTTATTTCGTGACATTTTTCTGAAGTAAAATGACTTAAATAAATAATAATAATTTATTTAATAAAAAAAAAAAATGATAATATTTCAATCGAAACATAAATATTCTACTAGACTTCTACATGAATTCAACGGTAGTTTTTCGGAAGAATAAAACGCGAAGAAAATCTCCGTGGTACAGGATTGAGAGCTTTAAAGTCGAAAGGACGATTGAATTGAATGTGCGGATCGTTGCCCGATGAAAGTCGCGAAAGCTGTAAGTCGTAGTCGCGCGTTCGTCTGGCTTATATATAGCCTTCGAAGGCAACATATAGGATGGTGTCGAGGCTGCTGAGAAGTTGAAGAGCCAGATCAAACGCTCTATTATCACGCGCACAAGCCTCCACATTCTCGCAAGGATCATTCGTGTTTCTTCAGCTTTTGATCCTTAGTCTTTTAGGGTAGTAAGTGCCTTTGGTCGAGTATCAAACTTTCCGAAGCATTTTCACCATACTATTGAACACTTGATGCGGTCGAATACCTTCTTACCAATACACTTTTGTCATCCTATTTCTCTTGACAGTGACACAAAAATTCGATTATCGAAAATGCTAAAGCAACTTTTTTTTTATTATTCAAATCATGGATAAAAAACTTTGAAGGATTTTTTTGTAGTAATACATGTCAAAGTATAGTCATGATGTTGAAAAATCAATAAACTACAGGTTTGTATTTACACTAATATTAATCATAAATTGGTTTGATATAATTGCTGAGAGGTTGAAATATTTATTGAGATAGCTATAATAAAATTCTAATCGACCTCACGTCATTGCATATTATTTTCATCGAGATTTAAATCAGTGGTGGTTGAGGAAATGATGAAATATTTGAAAATTTTTCATTAATCCTCTAGAATTTTTCCCCATCATTTATTCTTGAATTATTAATAATAACAACCCAAGGTATTTCAAAAGTTGAGAAAATATTATTTAGGATTAAACTGGAATAATAAAAATTACTGAGAACAAATTTAATATCATTAATTTTTTTTCCAATAATACAAGGTGTTTGTACGTGTATTACAATAAGTCAAAGAAACGAGGCCAAGACAACCCCCTGAGAATTATATCGATTCATACAGAAATCAATTATTAAACTTTTTTATCATAGAAAAAAAAATGGAATTATTTTTGCATTATGTTGAAATGCTAAGAAGTTTTAATACAATCGAATAAATTGAAAAATTCATTTTTTTAACAAAAAGTTTATTATTAAATTGAACTGAGAAGATTATCCTTTTACTTGTGAACTGATTATTTAATAAATAAAAATATTAAATATAAACGTAGAAAATAAACTATTAAAAGTTTTAACTGAAACATATGTGTATATAATAGTAATCAATCAGAGGAACATTTTGATTGTATAACAGCAAATCACTAGGGAAATTTATTAGTAACTTTTTTTTTAACAATGTTTTTTATTTATTTTAATATTTATTTTGAAAGCAGCAGAATGTCCAATCAACTCAAGGATTCAACAGATAGACGATGAGACAATGAAATTAGAACGAAAATTCATTAATTGCTTCTATAAAAGAGTGCTATAGCGAGTGTTCATTTAATCAATTCATTTTGTATAATTTTTATCATTTTATTCCAAGATAAATGAATAAAATATATTGCTTTTACATGAGATACATGAATATCATATAAATTAAGTTAATCTTATTCTATTTTTCGTGTTTTATTACTGAAAAGGAGTCAGAGGAAATGCGAAAAGGTAATGAGGAACGTTTATCATTATTCATGGATATTAATGTCCAAGAAGAGGTTAATATTACGAGATAAGATTATATTAAGGTTTTAATACTTAAACTTTTCCTATTTCCTTTGGCAATATGCTCTTATATTTAATACTCTGAATAAATGATAAAATCAATGTCTCTAGGAAGCAAAGTTGAAACATCGACCACGTCATACACAAAGTGAAGCTTTTGTTAATTTCATATAAATACTTTCTCAGATGCCTAAATAAAATTGCAGATACTTTAAATTCTTCACTCGACATTTTGCAACTTTTAGCAACGTTCAGGATTGACTATCCAATAAAATATGTCATTTATTTGAAGATTGCATTATTATAGATTAATATGCAGAAAAACAAATAAATTATTTTTAATTAGCAAAAAGGATTAAGTAAATAATCGAATGAATTTAATTTGTATGAAAATAAAAACCATATTAATAAAGAAATTCATTTAATTAAAATGGTAGAAAAGCGAATTAAAAAATTATTTTCTGGTCACAGTAAAAGGTATTGTTTTTTTTAGGAAAAATAATTTTTTATTTATTTTTATTAAATTGTGTGTAAATTCAATTTCGTAATTTCAAATGGAAGAATTGTAGGTCACTTTTATCTGACACACGTATGCCTTAAGGGCTAATCTCGGTCCTTTTGTAAAACATTTCTTTCATTTTGATTCTCAACAATGAAATAAAAAAATTTGTATTTAAAAAAAATAACATTTGAAAATTTAATTAAATTAAAAATATTAAAAAGAGTAATTATTTTTATCATTCATGTGCAGCTGGTGAAGAGAACAAAGCGACATTGTAGGGAAAAATAATAGAAGTGAAGAATTAAAGTATATTTAAGTCAATTCATTCGAATACAGTCGAGAGAATTTTACTCTTATGTATTCTCTCTACTAAGTACACTAAGTACTATCTGAATTTAAAAAAAAAAATTAAACTTTTATTTTTTATGTTATTGTTCACCAAGTGCTGTTACTCGACTGTTTTAAATTTTTCCCCTTTCTATTATTTTTGTTTTCATTTTACAAATTGTCCCCTTTTCAGATATTAAAAGTTAAATCTAATTAAATTTCACAATCAACTCAATTATTGTTACTTGAGGGAAAAATTCTGGTGTATCAAATGCATCCATTTTAATGAATACATCCTACAAATACAACTTCAATAATAATTATTTTCAACCATTTTTCATAGTAAATTTTTTCTGAATTAAAAAAAAAAATCCATTTCAACAAATAAATTTTCTCTATTCAGGCAATTTTTTCTATACACACATTCAGCATTTCAATTAAGTTGAACATATAAATAAGTTTTTAATTTATATAGCCGAGTCTATTCAATAAAAACTTGATTATATGCACTCACTATCTGAAGTAGGATGTATTTATCTAATATATTACTGAACAAGTGCATAAAAAATTTGTTATCATAAACATTGTAATATTTTGTTGATTTAATCAATCCAAACAATAAAATGCGTTTGAAATAATCATTTTTATATGATATTATTATCTAACTTATATTTAGTTTGTACATTGATCGATCAATTATAATTTTCTACGCATTGATAGATGATAATAAGATGTATGATATTGCATCATTATATTAATCTACAATTATCGGAGATCACAAGTCGGGGTCGATGGTTTTTTGGGTGCAAGGTCACTTGGAGTGTAGTTAGAAATAAATGCAAACATGTGCAACAACGTAATATTGAGGATCAAGACATATATCGATGCTTGAAAGGCATTTGGTTTTTTTTTTTGTTTTGATTGTCACTCCATTTGTATAGTACTCAATAGCGAACACACGAGCAAATGAATACCGAATAAGTATACTGGTGTGGTGCTTAAATGGCAATTCTGGTCTGCTTTCCATTTAAAATGCTTTGGGATTCGTACTCAATGATTTATGGAGAAAATACGACAAAAACCTGTCTCGAACCATTGCCTATAAATGTCTAAATTATTTACCGATAGTTTTATCAATCGACAGAGGAAAAAATTGTACGAGGATTTTTTTTTTTTTTTTGAAAAATTTAATTAATACATATAAAATCTTTGATTTAAAAAAACCAAAGGTTTGATTACATTTTTTTAATAAAATAGAACTTTAAATTGAATAAATGTTTTTTATTCGTTAAAAGCAGCTCTACTAGTTTATTAACAGAGTAGAGTAGACGAATGAAAAAGTCAATTAGCTGATTTTTATAAAAATTTTATATATCAGATAAAAATGTAATTTTTTCTTTCAAAAAATTGAAACTATTAATTTGAAGGATAATTTTTTTGGCAAAAAAGAATAGGGTTTCAATTACGCCAGTGTTTTATTAAAAAATATATATATATATATATATAGTGATGTACTATTACTTCTGATAAAAAAAAAAAGTTGATTAAAAGATTCTTTTTTTAATCAAAAAGTAATAATCTACTTTTAAGGAAGAAAAATTAATTTTGCTTACTGAAAAGTATTTTCTAATTTACCCTACTTAAATATTATAAATTTTTCTAATAATTAAAAAAATACCCGATAAATGAAAAGTTTTTGCTTAATCGAATCAAATAATTTAATGATCGCAAATAGAAATAGACCAATCAATTTTCCGATAAATTTAATCCAATTAAATATACATTAATGGTTAAAAATAAATTTAATCCCAAAAACTATTAATCAATGAAAAAAAAATCACTATCATTTTATTAAATCCATTGATTAATCGTCAATTCAGAGAATTTTAAATAAAAACCTTCTATTTATTCAGAAAAAAAATGTCAACTGCCAAAAAAGGATTACATAACTGGATTACAACATTTACGGAAGTAAAATTCTCGACTAAATGAATGCAATTATGATCGATTCTCAATTTGCTCTTATTGCCGGAAGTTACAAGAGTAAACCAACAACTATCAACTGATTATAAAATAAAACTCGTTTATAGGAAATATCTGGTATTGATGTGGAGTAAAGTAGAGTGGACGTGCATGATGGATAACATTATTTTATTTACACTATCCTCAATAGGTTGATCTCGGCTGTTCAATGCATATTATACTTCCGGATGTGTCTTGAACATGATGATGAGTGATTTGGGTTCGCCATCGAGGAGATACTCGAGCCCAGAATTCGATGGATAATCGAACTATCAAGCAGGATAATGGAGCTTGGGCTACTCGATTCTCAGGCTGTGTTGTATTTCTGGGGTCTCATGCTATGCATTCAAGTCAACATGCGTGCTCCCTGTTGTGGCTTTCACCGTAATTATATGGTAGGTATCGAGACGTTAAAGCGACTGCGCACCGATACTACCGGACAAGTCTGACGCAACATTGCATAGCAGGCCTTGCACTATGAATTACAATGGTATTTATCCTCCACCACCCATACCCAATCGGCGAGGGTTTTATCTACTAAGTAGCTAAGTGACGGGTGACATAGGATAGACGAGAAGGTGTCTATGAGTGGCGCCAACGTTCAACGAATAATGATGGAAAAGGTGGAGAAGGGGCCAACGAGGGAAGAAGGGCGTGGTGTGAGTGACCGACTACTTTATCTGATGCAAGATCTCTGGGAGGCTGCGCGATGCACTTCGATGAAGGCTTTACATAAAGAGAAAAAGTTCTGCTGCTGTTGCTAAAAAAAAAAGTTGCTAAAGGACGTGATCTCTTCGGCCTTTTCATCGCATAATCATTCCAACGATCGTTCATTTTATATCATGCTTTTAAAAATCTATAATTTAACCATTTATCCTACATCAAGAAAAATCTGAGTCCAGGATACAAAAAGGATTTTATTCTTTTTTCGTAATTGAAAACTAAAGCTGTGAGAAGGATATTTTATAAATGAAAAATAAAATCACTGGAGCAATGCAAAAATTACAGTATTTTCTGTTTAAGTTGAAAAGCAAAGCTGGAATTTTTTACAACATGCTTTGTAATTTTTTACTTTGCTCTAGTTAATTTTTGTTTTTCATTTGTTGTTTTTTTTCAATGATTCTTTTTTTTTTTAATTTTTGTTTACAAATTACATTCTAAAATCCATGTATTGTGTTACTTGGAATATTCTATGGAAGATCTAAGTCTGCATTTTAATATGCAAATGAGAAATAAAAAAACATAGATTTTCTATAAAAGTAATTTAAAATTATTGCCTTGGTGAGTAACACTAGGCTAGAAATAGTTAAATTGAAGATTGGTTTTCAAACTTGAAATATGACAATTTTTCTCGTTATCATTGTCAGACTCAAATTATATATTCATAGTGATAACAAAAGAAATATTTTCCACAGAAAATAAAGAAATAGTGGATTGAGAGACAATAACTTTATGCAATACCATTCATTATAAAAGTTGACAGAGACTTATTCTATAAATCTCAAATTATAACTTATTTTCATGTACATATATATTTCCATACATTTGACACATAATCAGTTTCAAGTTCAAAACTCAAAAAACAAAATACCATTTCATTCCTTATATTGAAAACTACATAATAAATTCAAAACTTTTTGAATAAAAAAAGAAACTTTGACAAATTTAGGTTTATTTTAGATGTTATTGTACATGAAATTGCAATTTTATGATTGTCAATTCTAGCAGCAATACAAATGAACGAGACATTTAAAATAAAATTTTTAATTCACTGCCAGCAGCAAGTTTCATAAAATTATTTTAGTAGAAATAATGTAATTTATCGTTCAACCAAGTCGTGGGTAGGTGTGACCGTCGACACCACATGAATAATTTTCTGATTTAAAAGAAATTGTCTGGAAAATTTTCAATGTATTTTATATTTAAACATTCTTTAAATACCAACGAAAATGACTGACTAAATTTCCCAAAAAATATATACATATATCAAAGTGACCTCAATGATTCCTTTCTTTTCGATTTTCTCCCACATAAAAATCCTACAACCTGGTAACTTTAGCCTTTCAATGTAACTTTAGAATCTTGACCAGACTAAAATTATCATTCCCTCAACATCAAGGAATATTCATATATATATTATTTACATGCTTTTTCCTATTTCCACTCATGTGTATTTACATAAATTGATTATTGAAGTCCATTTCAATGTTAATACTTCAACTTCTTGACTTTTTAAAATCATTTTCACACAATAAAAATTCTATATGAAGGAGGCGAAAAAAATAATTGAAAAATAAATGTACCAGTTCAAGTGTACTAGTTGAAACTATGCAATTTTCAACATAACTGATTTCATTACAGAAAGCTCCCTCATGTAAATGAAAACGATTACTAGATTACAAGGAGAAATTCTATATTTAGTTGTATTGACTACACTTGTGTATTGGAAATTTTATTACAAACGCACAACAAATAGAACTACTAACTCCTACATATAATTTCCAATAAAATGTAATTCTAGAAATTCTCTTGAAAAATTAAAAATATTCCAATACCGTACTTTAGTCAAATATAACCAGGAATAAAATTAATCACCATCCAAGGAAAGTTTTCAATCTATTAGAAAATTTTGTCATACCCATCAATCATCACAGAAGATACATTTTTATTAGATGCATACCAAAAAATTTCAAAATCAGATCTTCCATATTCATTGATATACTTCCAATTTAATTAACTTGATGCATATTCGTTACAGTAATAATAATAAAAAAAAATGGAATCTTTTTTTAAAAGAACCTTTTATGTTGATAATTAAATCAATTTTTTAGCTTAATTTAATATGGTTTCATTAAAATCATTTTTAAAACTTCCATTTTAATGTATCACGTGACATTAGAGTAGACTAAAAAAAGATGAAATCCTTTGAGGCAAACTGTGATGAAGGTTTTTTGAGAAAGAAATGACCCTTTTCATCCGTCTTTGATTGGTGCTTACAATAAGTCCTCAAAATGGTCTAGAAACGCTATTTTTCAATAGCAGTATGATATAGAAGAGTCGTAAATGATTGGTTCTCAAGACTCTGTTTGCTTTAAAAGCACACTATTTATTCTCCTCTTCTCACTTCAATCATTAAACATCGAAAAGACTTTTTTATTAGATAATAGCTAAACGAAAATCGTTTGGAATGTATTCAATTCATCGTCAACTCCGAAAGGGAGGGGTAGTTGCATCAGGATCTTTAGAATTCCAAGAATTAATTGGTCTTGTATTCTTGTCGAATGGGTCGACAAAAGTAAGATGTTAGATCTCCGATTTTTGTTGTTAGATAATTTGATGATGAGATGGAAACTATTAACTAGGTTTCTACAGTGAGTAGGTATTAGCTCTTGATAAAGACTTTCAACTTTTATTTGACATTTTACGATCATTTAATTTACTTCTTGCTTTTTTCTGAACTTAAGTTTCAAAGAATGGCGGAAAAGAGTATAAAAGAAGATAAAAATAATGACGATTGATGTAAAAATACTGTAAGTAGCTTCTCATGTAATAGGATCAAAATATTTTATATAAATGTAAGCATCTTTCTTGTCCAACTATTATGATAACAAGACAGATATAGAAATGCGTCCGTTGTTTTTATAATAGTATTAAAGATTACAAATTAAATAAGTCTTATCTTTCAAAAGTTAATCACTTTAAGGGATTTCTCAGATTATTTTAATAAATTCCTTACACTCTACCTAAAAATTGAGATTTAAATAATCTCTATTTTCATCTTTACTACTTAAGTCACTCAAACGCTTTACATTTTAACATAATTCCACGTCGGTTCTTATGGAGATGACTTGGAGGAAAATTATTGCAATATGCCATTAGATAGATATATCTTTATTAATTGAGAATAAAAATATTCAACCAAGTGTGGGAACTGTCATTTATTTTTCTCTTATTATTTTCACATTTTGTTAATTCAAAATTAATTAAAATCTTATCTTAGATTTATTCTTTAAAGAGATGGGAAACAAATGTCCCATAGTTCTAGTAAAAGGGGAATCTTATATTTTTCCTGAGCAGTAAATAAATATAGTAAATCAATGATGGTCAATAAATTATTAAAAAAAGTATAAATAAAACAGTAATTTAGTCTGTCATACACGTCTATTAACTACCAATCAATAATAAAATACTGGAAGGAATTCATTCAAAAGTAAACGTTATATTGTTGATATCCTATTTTTATTAGAGATTTATGAGAAAAAAAATTGATTATTGTGAAGAATATAGTCAATTAAATATTTTATCATGTAGTAATATTTATAACTCAATTGAGTTTTAATATTTCATCAACAATTACCGTAAAATATTTGTTTATTGAATATTTAACAGATAAATTTTTCATTACGATGATGAATTATAAAGAGTTTGAAATGCGTCAAAGTTAATATGATTTCTTCCTGAACTCATAGGATTTTTTGCTACAAAATAAAAGTGAGAAATGAGTGAAAAGTCATGAACTGAAATGGATGAAATTTAATAAATGTAATTCAATATTAAAGTTGTAAAAAAATAAATAGAGGGAAATTTTTTTAAAGAGCATAATGTTGAAAAAAAAACTGTTCTATTAAATGCATAAAGAAAATTTATAAAATAATATTCCAATGAAAATAATAGAACTTGAGAATATGCCACTGCGTTTTGGAGTAAAAAATTATAAAATTTGATCGAATAGAAGGATAATTGAATGCATAGTATTGATTTAATAAAATATTTAAAAATAAAAAATGAAAATAAAAGAAACCATTTGAAAAAAATTAAACTGAAACTTCTCTAAAAGGTCGATTTGGGTTAAGTAAAGCATGAATAAGCGAAAGCTTATACTCGTTTATTCAAGTGCGCGACTTATTACACTTCTCGACAAATTAAATATTCCTGTGGGTCATCAACATGTACATATACATATAGAATTAAGAAAAAAAAAGCTCCTACAAATGATCATTCATAAAAAAGATCATATAAATAGAACGTGAGAAAAACAAAAGGACAAGTTGAATATCTCTTACTATTTTTGCATGAAGTTGATGCATGTGAAAAAAGCTCGAAGAAACACCCTCTTGTTTATACGAAAAAAAAAAAATAATTTAAAAACCAAAAGAAGATATTTTATTGTCGGCATGTGTTATATAACAGGTGTTGAATGCATAATATAAAAAGACAATTTGAACTTACGTTTGCATATGCTTGGACTCTCATCAGAATTATCTTTGCAGTCGTCTGCTCCATCACAAACCCATGGCATAGGTAAGCAATTACCATTTTTGCATTGGAATTGCCTCAAGGGACAAACTTTTTGAGCTGAAAATAAATAGCAGATTTATAAAAACGATTCTATATCCATATTTTTATACTCATTTTATTATTTTATAGTAAATTGACAATGGTCTGCTGAATAATAATGCTTTTTATATTCAAACTTTCAAACTCGAGTCTCAACAGTTTCAAAAACGTTTTCTATTCCAACGTAGGTTCTTGTAAAACTTTTTGTAAATATTACGTCAGAATTCAATCAGTGTCTGTTAATTAAAAAAAATAAATGAAACAAAAAAAATTGACGTATTCTTTTTTTTTTTTGTTACAAATTGATCAACAATAGTATAAATAGCGTGTTATTTATTTTTATGATTGAATTTTTTAATAAATCGAAAGCTAAAGATAATTAAAGATATATATTATTTTTTAAAACAAAGTTTAAAAAAAAAATCCCATTATTACAATTTACAGTTCCCTAGAATTTGGGTGATATTTTTTGAATTTTTCAGGCTGAGTGCATTTATTGGTTTGTTAACCCTAGATGTTTTCAAGCGAGTAATTAATATATTCAATATTGATGTGAAAACGGGATTAAAATTATAAAATAAATTGTAAAAAGCTAATATTGCTAATTGATTCAGTTATTATACAGTGAATTGTTAATTTATTTTATAAATGTATTATTGATAAATTTAATTTCATCCGTTAATAAATTTCATTTTATTACAAATAATTATTTTTATTTATATAAAATAATAAACGGACTAAAAAAAATTTCAATATTCAGTAATATTTCTTCAGTTTATTTGGAGTAATTAAAATAATTCCTTTCCACTTTATTTCCAACGAATCCTGAAGTAAAGTAGCCAGAAAGCAGAAATGCAAAGAAATTACAATTATTAGAGAGAATCATGAACTAAAATTACACAAATTATTTTCTATCTCTTAAAGGAAAATATTTTAATAAGAAAAAAATATTTATCCAACATAAATTTATTCTTGATAAACCGAAATAATTATCTCACTTCTGTTGAACGATGTGTCAATATAAGAAAAATATTATTTTAATCAAATTATTCAATGTCAAGAATATGTTTGCCTACTAAATACTCGTAAAAAATAAAACTCTATCACATATCGTCATTTTTTATTAAGTAAATTTGCTATGGAATTTACTTGTCTACTTGAATTCAATCCTAATTGTCTATGGAGTTGTTCATTGCCATGTGATCATACTGGTTTAGGAATTTTATTTAATATCAACTTAGAAGGGGCAAAAAAATATCATCACATCATTTTTCATCACATGTGTATAATAATTTTTCCATGCATCAAATGTCAAAGTTCATAAAATATTTAATAAATAATTTTGCAGAACTATTTGCACTCTATTCATCATAGAGTATGAAATATTTAATATTGCAAGGTAGAATAAATAAAAATTATCAATCATTTATCATCAGCAATTTTGAATGAAAAAGGAATAGAAAGTAGTGCAAAAGGCGGTGCTTTTATCGTTCGTGCTCAAGTGCATTGATAGAGATTAATAATAACTTTGAAAAGGACTTTTAATGATATCGAATTCTTTGTTGCCGACGACAAAGATGTAAAGAAATACTCGAAAGTCAAGAGTTATCGATCCGATAAATGCAACTGTGCAAAATACTTAGTGTCGCCATCTATCTAGTGCAAATAAGTTTCTTTGCAAAGAGGTATTCCCTCGTGTGTGCTTTTCTCATGGTCTTCTGCGTCAATACACGCATGAATATATACAGTTTACTGTAAAGACATACCATATTAAAGCACGAGTTTGTTTCTGTTTTGTTTACCTACTTAATTCATATGACTGATGTGTCACACTCCAATTAAACTTCCTACGTCGTATGAAAATAGATTTGTTGTGATAGAAATATCGAATACACAATTATTAGTTACTCACATAGCATAACAATGTTATTGCAAGAAGATGATAGTAAATAAAAATGTTGAAAATTTGATAATTGATTTAACAATATAGGAACCGATAACCAATTTTTTTAATTGTCGCGTGTATTTATTAGTGCATAAAATTCCATTTGAAATAACAATTTATTTAATAATAATATTTTATTATTGAAACTTCAAACATATTTTTGATAATTTATATTGATTTTTAATATTGTTTATTTTTCTAGTAATTATATTATAATATCAATTTAACAAGAGAAATTCATTTACAATAAGTATCAAATAAAATGTATCCCATGATCAATTAGAGAACAAAACTCGTGAAATAATTATTCATTTAAACCTTTTAAAGCTCCAATGACCACTGGTTTGTACAATTTACTAATTCGCAATAATGTCATTATTTTTAATTACATTTTTTCGAGTTAATTAATAAGAAAAAAATTTTTTTATCTCTTAAATAAATGAATGAATGATTGAATGAGTGAAAGATGTTGTTTTTAATTAACAATTCGATGATAATTATTCTAAAAGTTATTGGACTCACGTATTAATAAATTACGAATTTTCTTAGGTTCTTTGACTAATTAGAATTTTCGATTGTTGGAATTATAAAGTATAATGAACCCCCCGTGAGGAGTTGCCCAGACTAACTACTGCAATACGATTCCCTGTCCCTCGTAGTTTGTCCCTGAGTGTGAATTTATTCGAGCACTTTTTTTTAAGCAAGAAAAATATGATAAATCCATTAAATTAACACGTTCCAAGCTCCCTCGAAAAAAAAAGATTTACAAGTATAAATTACTTACTTATTGAGATCTATAAATATTTATTAAAAACAAAAAATATTTATTTTTATCAACTTGTATTTAATTAATCTAAATAAAATTTGAAACTGACATAAAAGTATAATACGTAAGTGAATGAGGAAATGTGTATAATGACAAACAGAACTTGTTATTTATTCAACAATTCGTTGAATTTATTTAGTTCTTAACAATGCTTTGATAGCTCGATTTTTTGGACTTGAAAACAGGACATGCATGATTATAAATGAAAAATAAATGGTTTGGGGATAATGAGTGTATTGTAAACGAAACAATAACGAGACAGTTTTCGGTTTTCTATTTTCTAGAGCATATTCAGGAAATTCACCACAAAAGTTGCCACCCGTCGAACTCGTCGTTTTGTTTACATTAAAAATTCTATGGAGAGTAGCTATTGTTGTGAATATTTATGCAAAACTTTTGAGTGATGGCCGTTCAAATATCATTTTTGTTATTTTTTTTTTAAATTGAATATATATATAAATATTTAATCAAAACCTTGGCATCACAACGTTAACATAGTCGTTGGTGAACATAAATATTGCATTACCAAGAATTATAAGTAAAGCTGATATTAATGGAAAAATCAACTATAGAATTCTCTCTATCATACTCGGGAATAATTTAAATATTAAACGAGAAGTTATTTTTTAATTTAAGTCAATATTAAATAGCTAGAATATTCCAATGGTTTTCCAATTTATCAACTTTTATGATCGATAATTTTTTTTAATTACACTCTGATTACGTTTAATAATTAAATGAAGCTGATTAATTATTTATTGAATGAATAACAGATAATTGATTCTTGATATTGAAACAAATATTTCTTTTTATTTTTATTTCATTCCTGAAAGATGTTGATCAAGTTATTAATTGTTTGACGTTTATCAATTTACGATACAAAGAAATAGAGTTTATGATAAAAATTAATTGGAGGAAGGAAATAAAAGATAAAATGTTACTTTTTTTTTTATTTGTTAGTACTAACCAGTGAAATAGAAGAAAATCGCTAACTTTTATCAACAACATTTATTGTATTATCTACTTTTTATAAGATTACGAACGTGCCAAATCATAATAAAGCTTTTGATAATAATTTTTTTTTTTTTCATAAAAAAAAGCCATCTGTGAAATTAAAGTTTTTAGAGAGAGAAAATTTAAGTAATCAGATTCCCTTGTAATTATCTCATCAATTGTCTTATTATCGAGATTCTCAGGGTTTTTTGTTTCAACAAGGAATAATAAAAGTGTCTCTGTTTCAAGTGTGAACACTGAAAAAATGATTAGATTTCAAATTCATTATTTTTCAATAGCAAGTCTCTAATGACAACTTCTTTTTTTTTAATAAAAAACGTTTCACTTGTTATAGGATTTAATAGACAAGAAAATTCAATTTGAGAATGAAACAGCTTTAATGAAGACTCCTGTCCGAGTATCGATATTTTCACTAACGATTATCGACATTTCCTATTTTTCAGTTTTTACCTTTCATTCTTTGTTAATTTTATTTACCTCTTTTTCTATCAACACAGGAGGTGTGTTCTAGATTTGTATTGTTTTATTATTTTTTTAAAATATATTTTCGATATATAAAGTTCTCTTTTTACATATAGCACTACTTTTTTTTTACATTCTTCTTTGGTATAACTGACAAATATCTCTGCTACTCTTTTTCACTTTTCCCACTAACTCAACTCGTTCAAAAACGAAAGAGTTTACACAAATTATCACTAATTAGTTTCCCTCTTCAGACGAACTGAACATTTTAATTACACTAATACTTTAACTCGTCAAATTTCTTCTCCATACACTAGTTACTTTAGAATGTAAATCAAGCCATAAAAATTTTAATTTCACGCAGATACTTTTTTGGTAAACACCTTACATAATATACAAGCTTGAAAGCATGCTATAAAAGTATAAACTCTATTTTTACCCCAAAAGAAGCATGATTTTTTTCGTGATAGATAGACTTTCGTTTATCCCCTACTCAATTTTTTTATCTCATCCATTTTCCTATACTTTTTTATCTAGACTTTCATCATAAAAAAAAGGTATTAACTTCATCTCTTTTTTCCCTTACGCTTGAATAGATAGATTAATACTTAGTCAGTGGGTACATGCGCGTACGAGAAACAAAACATCAACGTAATATGAGTGACAAAGGTACATATAATTAATATTTACATATTACATTTTATCTTCTTAATTATATCACGACTTAATACGTATTAAATCATCAGCTGTTGTTATTCAAAACTCGTGACAGATGTATAAGCAAAATAAAATTGAATTGCTTTGTCATAGTTTGATGGAAATACTTGAGTAAATTATAAAAGTATATAAAAATTCAAATAAAAGCTGAGAAAATTCTTTGAAAATCAACACCAATCTATCGTCATATTGTATGAGGGAGGAAGTGTGTACGAAACACATTGGATTGTCGCCCTTGTATTCACGACAATGATCCCTGAGAGAATAGAAGAAAACGAGGGCGAGACATTGGCCAATCCTAGGGATGTTTCTATTCAAACAACATCCTTAAATTTTTTTTCAAGTGTTATATACTCATGTAAAATGAGAAACGTACTTGGTGAAATCAGCAAAACAGTGCATTTTTTGAATTACTTTTTGGAATGGCATTTTCTTCCTGTAATCCTCGACAGGAATAATAATTTTTTTTACGATCTATAAAATAATATTACTCCAAAGTAAACAATACCATTAACGAAAGTGCACCCTAATAATTATTTCTCTCATAAAAAACAATTTTATTTTTATCATAAAAACATCGATGATTTCCAATTTAATATTATACTCATCAAAGTTGTTTAATTATTAATAATAAATTATTTTTATTTGATAAAAATACATTTTGGCAAACTCATGAAGGCTACCTCGAGACTATAATAAGCCCCAAGATGTTTTGATATAATTTTGTTTATAAACAACAACTCTATTTAAGTTGTTATCATATTATCTTATCATCTAATTCCAGCGAGGTATCTAATTCTGCTTCATTCATCAAACTTCTAATTGGAGGTATTTCTCTCATGAAGAATGTTGTTTTATTAAAGGTTAAAATTAAGAATAGTCGAGGGGTTAAAATAAGATTGACCTTAAGTTACGATTTAAATAACTAAAATAAAAATTTATTTATTTATTTACAAAATAAAAGTAATTATATTTAAATACCGTATTGAGTATTGATGGTATTTAATTTAGAATGCAAACAAACGATGAATTAAAAAATGTAATCAAATGAAACACATGTAATTTAATTCCTCGTGTGTGAGACAGGTTTAAGTAAATGTACTTACGATCAGTTGAGATTCCATCACTTGCTCCTGATGTATGGATAAGTGTAAAAATTACAATGAATGATGATAATAAAGTCAGCAAAAGCCGACTCGATGGGTCTTTAAACTCCATCACCACCCCTTCACTGTCTTTACACCTCCAGTTTCACTGTTTGTTTTATTTTTTCACTGAAAAACAGTATTATGTGAATAATTTAAAAGCTTAAAATACTAAGAATCAAAGGTGTTGAATGAAACGACAATTGTTGACAATAAACAACGTTACTGTGAATGAAAAAAGAGTTAAATAAAACCGGGAGGTTGTGAGGGCGTTTTGAGGAATTGTGCACGATAGCATAGACCCGGTTTGAGTGCACAATTACTCTCCGAACGTTACTCTCTCCCGGGCGAGACAGAAGTCACTGATTCTGATTCTGACGCACCGACATCGCGCCACCTGCGCGCGCATATCTCGCTCCTTTTCTAATATGGCGACGTCCTGCTCATTTGCGCTGATTCCCGTGGTCTTTTTCGCCATAGAGACAACAGCTGAGGTGGACCAACGGGATGAAGAGACGAGAGATTGGCAAATTCTATATCAATTATCTAACCTAACCTGAGTGTTCTGTCTTTCCTTTCGTTTCTGAGACACAACGCGACAAGGCAATTGGAGCTCTTGCGAATGACACGTTCTTTGGATACATCACTGCTTTTTTTTTTATTCTTCACTCACTTATTGAGACGACAAAGTATGTACTTGTACCTTGAATGCTGATATATTTATGCAAGACTTTATAAGTAGGTCTTCGAATCAACAAACACTTGCTAACTACTTTCATGTACAAAATTACTACATTATTTTTATCTGTGTTTTTTATTGTGAAAATGAGCTATTTGTGTGAAATGAAAATTAGTGTTTTTGAAATAAGGTGACATGTTTGGCTAAATTAATATATAATCAACAAGTTCATCTTATTGGCTAATTGAAAATGTAGCAATTAAATCTGCAAGAATTGGAGGTTAGGAAGATTGCAGCTGACAGAAAATTATTTTAATAAAATGGAGATTAATCCTTTGAGTATTATTCTTGTGAAAAGTGACAGTAAGGGTGACAGAATGTTGTTCAGGTATCCACATACCACTAATTACAAAAGAGATTCAAGTCAATGTACAAAAAGGAAAAATCCTTACTCTTTGATTATCGCTAAAGACTCTTTGCAGGTTATTTTTTATTGGAATCTTTGATGAAATTTAAGGCAGAGGGATATTTAATTATGTTAAATAATTCAATTTTCGTTTTCAGTCACTACCATGTCCAACATCAAATATTACTAATGGAAACCTCACTGGATTACCCGACGAAGTTCTGTCAACTCTATTTGCTGTCAAGCCAGAGCTTTGTGAAATGAAATTTGAATTAAAAGTAAATAATGTGAGGTTTGTTGGTCACCCAACTCTATTGTCATCTAGGGGAAAGGAAGTTAATTCATCAATGTTATTCAATGTTGTGTTTGCACTACAAGCACAAGCTGATCAGTCAGTTGTCAAGTGTTACTATGACCTCAGTAAAAGGTCAGTGTTAAAGTAATTTACAATTCAAAATAATAGAAATGACGATCAGACGATAATGAAAACAGTAATGAATTTTCATTCATTGCTTACAGACTGGGAATAGCTTTGAGACATGAAGAAAAACGATGTGGATTTTTGTCCGAGGAAATTAAAATGATGGTCTCTACTCATGATGAAATTGCCACTAGGTATGTAATTAAATTGCCAACAATCCGATTAGATTTAAACTCGTTAACATTAATTATGCAATTAACTCATGGCTTAATCCGTACAGAAGACGTCTGTATGCCATTAATATCTCATTAATTTTATGTCCTCATTCTCCCGTGAATTTATAATTGAACTCATCAATTTCTTACTTGTTCGTCCGTTGGAAAAGTAACACATTTATGAGGTCAAATTATCAACCAATGTGATATGAATTATAAGAGTCCATAAATTTCCCTACACTTTTTTTCAAGTAATACTTACTCATAATCATGGTACGATGACTGATGGATTTAATTTTTTAGGTCCGAGGAAGAAAGTGATAATGAAGAGTCACCGTATGAATTAATATTAAAGAAAAGCACATTAGCAAAAGACCTTAAAACAGCATTTGATAGTTTATGTAATACTGGAATAGTTAATTTATTAATCAACAAATGGATATTAGTTAGTTTTTGTTTACCACAAAAAGTACATCAATTTCATAAGAAAGGTTTTATAATGAATCCTGATGCAATTGATAGGTACAATTGAACACATAAGATTATTATTTAAATATTTTTTTCAATAAAAGCTAATAAAAGTGATGTAACTCATAAATTAGGGGTTAAAAGAATTAAATTGTTTGTTTCAGATGCTTAAACAGTTTAAGGCCATACCACGGTCTACTTTTGTTAATTGAGCCGATAGATCTACTAGATTCGTTGCCAACTGATGCATCGCCAGCTCTAAGACGTTTGATTCAAATGTACAATCCGTTAAAGAGTCTCCAAACTTTAGCAGCAGATTCAGATTTATCTTTAGCCCAAGTTTTTCAATTAACTGGTCATTTAGTTTACTGGGCTAAAGCAACTATTATTTATCCTCTCTGTGAGAATAATGTCTATGTTATTTCCCCAGACGCAATGATTTCTAGTCAATTAATGGAATCTTTTTCGGACCAATTTCCTGGACTCAATTTATTACAAGTACGTTTCAATTCATTGAGTTATTTGCTTTAATTAATTATGATACAGTTATTACAGTATTTTCGATTTTCAATGTATATTTTTTAAATCAAAAAATAATTAAGTTTAATTTTTAATTATAAGACCTTTTTACATTTAAATGAACATTATACAATTGTAATTGAAATAAAAAAAATTATACTATCCTGGATGAATTCTAGGTCATTAGTGAATTTTCACTTCCAACTTCAATCAGCCACAAATTAAATCCTCTAAGCCAACCGCAACAGCAGCAGCAATTAGTAAAAATAATTATCTGGATGTTAAAAAATCATTTATTACTGCAACTACATACATATGTTCAGTATATGCCCACTGATCACGGTCGGCATCCAATGGTAAGAGATAACATCATCATGATACAGCTCTATTCTATTATTTTACAATCCTACAATTCTAATATCCCGTCTCATAAAAGAACTGACCTTTAGTTAAATACCTTTTTTTAGGAGACCATAAGTCAAGATGGGTCTAGTCCAACTGGAGCTACTGAGAATGACAACAGCTGGAGTCTAAACAATACCCCTAAGGGAACACCAAGTGAGACTGTTAGGATCGATAGATCAGTTCCGATACCAAAAGAAGATGAAATCTTCGAATACCGACCTGAAAATTTCTCTATTCCCTCTGATGACATTATGTTACTTGATAAACTTTGTAGACTCGGATATTTTGACGGTCGACATCATCTAGAAGAAATAATGTACCTAGAAAACATTCGACGATCCCAACTTCTTCAAATTCTAGATAAATTTCGGGATATTCTCATCACGTCTGAACACGAAGATCCAGCTATTGCATTATTTTACTCACAGCATGGGTTTTCATGAATTGAAGATACATTTTATATATTTTTTTAATAAAAATACTTATCAATTCTCTCGAATAAAAAACTATTGGATAAATAAAAGTACAATGTACTCAGAAAATATCTTTTGTACATTTGAAAGAAAGAATTTGTTAATAAATAAAATCTAATAATCAAAATACCTTCTTGTTTCTTAGAATCGAATTGCGATATTGAATAGAAAAAATCATGCTTCTATTTATTTATTACACTGGATAATTACAACAATAGAATGAATATTTTCCAAAAAAAAGTAACGATTGTATTGTTTATTACATTTATAAACAATATTTAAAGTTTATTTACTTATTTTTACGTTAAAATTAAAAAATACGGCAAACTACGTCTGATTTTCTACGCCTTTCTATACAATCTTATACGAATTAATCGGAGTCAAAACGTTCAAAAATTTTCTTTTTTATTCGGAAAACATCAGAAGCAAAGAGGTATTCGATCGAAAAGTATAAAAATGAGTAGGTATCCGGTGGAACAACTCTTTTTTACCGGCTGATTAAAGAATTTAGTTCAAACTTTATTTCAGAGATGGCGCTAGGTGTATAATTTTAAAAATTTATCGTAGGCTGCCATCTCTGAAATAAAGTTTGAACTAAATTCTTTAATCAGCCGGTAAAAAAGAGTTGTTCCACCGGATACCTACTCATTTTTATACTTTTCGATCGAATACCTCTTTGCTTCTGATGTTTTCCGAATAAAAAAGAAAATTTTTGAACGTTTTGACTCCGATTAATTCGTATAAGATTGTATAGAAAGGCGTAGAAAATCAGACGTAGTTTGCCGTATTTTTTAATTTTAACGTAAAAATAAGTAAATAAACTTTAAATATTGTTTATAAATATAATAAACAATACAATAGTTACTTTTTTTTGGAAAATATTCATTCTATTGTTGTAATTATCCAGTGTAATAAATAAATAGAAAAGATTTAATTTTTTAATCATAGTTATTATTATCGTTAATATCCATATAATTATCAATAACTACAGCAAAACACAAAACAAAAATGTGATATCTGTACATCGTCCTTATGTAATTAACATAAACATTTTTCTGCATATCAGTAGCCTAAGAATAGGACGAAATTAAATCATAATATTCACAGATATTATACAACTTAGATAAGGTAAAGGACTAGCCCACACACTGCCTTTTTTAATTATCAAAGAGTAATGTGATTGAAATGAAAAAATAATTTTTTAATGTTTAATTGTTGAATTACAGTTTTTAGCAATTAATTAATTTAATTAATTGTATTAAAGTAAAATTATTAAAAAATAAATTGTGAATATATTTGAGCAGTGTGTGTGCGCCCTTTCACCAGATATCCTTATTTATTTAACTGTAATATATGTATTTTTTTGTTTCTTTTATTTATTTTAATCGATCATTCATTTACTTCTATATACTGTACATATGAACAACGCATCATTTACACTGTACACGCACACGCTCTCTGAGTATCTTTGCTGCCTTATCTTAAATATTTTTTTTTTTTTTTTTTTACTTTTTAAGGATGGGCAGGATATTTATGACCATTTAATTGTCAATTACACTTACCACTTTTTATACAACTTAATTATTTCTTTTTAAATATTATAGGAATTCATCTTCCTAAATACAAGTTTTTTTTTTTTTTTTGAATAATAATAGCTTATTTAACTACTAAGACATGAGCGCGTTATTTATTTATTATTAATTATATTCAATAAACCTTTTCGTATTTTATTTAATATTTAAATTTAAATATTGTCAATCTAAAACTCCGACAATATTATTCATTTTTATGTGAAAATTTATTCCTTTTTTAATATCATTCATAATCCAAATACGAATATTATGAATATTTATATGGACTCAAAAACACTTCATGCATCAATCAATTATTAATTATGTATGTTAATAAATTTTTTTTATTCAAATTTAATTTTAAAGTAGCAATAATTGCTGTTATAAAAAAGTGTATTGTTCTGTATAGTCTGGAGAATAATTTTGTAATGATGTATTTTACGCACTCAAGTCTGTGTTCATTTTCTTTACATAATAAATCTTTTTTTTTTTCTAGCTTGAAAGCTACCATTGTTGAATGTCAACAAATTAGTTAAAAAGTTATTACACTCCGCCCATACCTCATCGTAAATTGAATCATTTTTTCATCAATTTAATTAACTGGTACTCTCTAAAGACATGCGCCCTATGCGCAAAAGCAATATTGTTAATATATAATGTAATAACTGATTCTTTTATATTCGATTTTTTGTTTTATCTCTGGTAAAACTTGTTTAACAATTTTTCATTATTTTGTTTTGTTATTTTAGGGCTTTGTGTTACACAGTGTTACTTTTAATGTAAATTTTTGTGTTTCTATTATACAACACCGCATTATTTCAGATATTATATGATGCTAGGAGCGTTCATGACGCGTTGTTGATGATTTTTTAATCTCTTTTGTCAGAAAGATATTTTGCATAAATTTAAAGAGGGGTAAAGTGAATATAGGGCAGCACTAATGGTCATTTGAGATCGGTCATACATGAAAAATAGTATGACATGGTATTTTAAATTTAAATAAGAGCCCTTTTAGTTTGTTTTAAACGTGCAAATCGATACATAATTAGCTATAGCTTGAATAATAACTTTAGTAATAATCGACTGCAGCAGTAGTAGAGTAGAATAGTTAGCTGATAGTAATATTAGAATAGTATAGTGATAAGAAGTAATAATTGTAGCATAGTAATGATAGGACATAGTGTTAAATTCGCAGCATAGCGTTAGGCGATAATCATGAACGAAAATTTCATGAATAATAATAAGAATAAGAATAATAATAACTACAATAATAATAGTAATGATACAATAATAATAATAATAAAGAATTTAGAATTATTATAATTAATATTATAAATTTTTCATAATGTACATATCGATATTCTAAGCATAATATAATAATAATAATAATAATAATAATAATAATAATAATAATAATAGTAATTTTATAATAATTTTATAATAATAATCCATAATAACTAATATAATTATAATAATCATTATAATTGCAATATAGTACATCCTGCTAAAAGACTTTTATGATACACTAAAGATAAACACTACATTGGTAGAGTTTTCGCTCAATTATTTTTTTCTTCATTATAACGTCTACATGAATTTATAACTTTTATCTTTCACTTTCTAATTCGACAGGAGCAGCAGCAGCGGCTTCGGCGGCGGCAGCAACTATTGTTACAGTTATATAATACAATGGTTTCATATTTATATAGAGTAATATTATACAAAAACACATCACATATCGCACGGACCATTTTAACGGCCACATTTATGTTTTTTTTTTATGCAGATATCGTTAAATAATTAAAATCACAGTAGTTATGCCCTCGCTGGCTCCCTTAAATTTATACAACATTAACGTCTAAGCCTTAAAAAGTAACTCGTTTATAGATTGGTTATTTTATTCTGTTTTCTTATTATTTATTTTATTTTACTCATTAATTATTTATTTTCTTTCTTTATGAATCAGATTATTCAATGTTATCCGCAACCAAAGTGCAAGGAAGGTATATATTTTTTATCGTGTGTAAAGAAACAAGTGCGGATAACTTATAAAGACTCTTTTTGTCTTATAAAATCATATTTAGTTATTCAATGGTTAATAAAATCCTGGTAGGAGGGGGATGTGTCTGACCAGCTTGTCGGAGAGACCAAGAGTGAAGTCGGTCGTTCCCACAAACATGATCAGTGATAGACTGTTTGGTCAATGAAGACCCTCCAGACCATTGGAACCTTCCAATTTCGGCACCAAAAGAGTGCAGAGGAATGCAAGGATTTTTTTTTTACATTTTTATACCTTACTTTTACCTTGCTAACCTCCCCTCTATCACAACCCCGTCCCCCTTTAGGGTTACAATCAATCAAGTAAGCCTTTGGCCAGTTATCCTTCCTATTGTCAAGGTAATCTTGTAGGAAGTAATTTATTTTTTGTCATTAAATTATTATTTTTATCAATAAATTTCTTTTCTTCAGGTTCCAAGTGTTGATTTTCTTTAAAGTCTGAAGTTCATCCTTGTGGTTACGGGACGCTGAGGCTTCATGCCTCGTTGCGATATATACCCGCTTGGCGTGAAGGAAGAGACGACAGAAAGAAATGATACAAAAAATGCAGAGATTGATCACAATCTGGTCAACTTGTCGATCTCAAACAGTAGCGATGACGATGACTAAATGAGCAATCTCCGCCACTCTGTGTAGTAAATCTGGTGCTATCCTAGCAAGGCTTTCGTTGGCAAAGTCACACGATGGGAATATGTGTACTACATATGCAGGCTGGAAATAAATTACTCATGAAATCACCATTTCTAATTCATGTTTATAACTACAAAACTTTTTGAAATATATCGTTCAATTAATTACAAATGTTACCTGTTGTGAACCTGGTGCTGCAATATTAACGATTCCAGCAGCTTGCTTTTGTTGAAGATAAGTTATAAAACCTGTCTGTAAATTTTTACTCTGTTGAAGAACATCCATATGATCTCGTCCACAAGGTAGCGCCAATAGCATACAATGTTCATTATCAGTCTAAAAAGATAAAAATTAATTAGATAATTTTTATAAAAATTATAAAAATAAAATGAAATATTTTCTATTTACATACCTGCATTTTTCTTGCTACTCCATCAACTTGAGTTTGTTCAAGCCTCATTCTCTGAGCAATTCTCAACGGTGGTGTTGATCCATCGCTGTTACATGGAAGACTATCCTGAGCTACATTAGGATTTCCAAATACAAAATGCATTTGAACAGCAGCTTGATCATTTTTAAGAGCCAATAACCCTTGCCACATGACGGGGTATCGTTGTAAGAGCATAAGAAGAGAATCTGCTTGTGGAGGAACTTGAGAGGCATGAGGTGGAGTTGCCACTTGATGTTTTCTGTGTCGATCTGGAGTAAGTGCACGGTCTGTTGGTGCTTCACTAGCAGCCATAGGATATTGAGAACGAATGTGTGCAGGTGGAGGATCATAATAACCACCTCGAGCACCTGTAGGACCGCCAGCAAGAGCTGGATTTGTCGCATTATATTGTGGCGGAGGTGGAAGCCGTTGACTACCATGAAGCATATAAACTTGTGCGATTTGTGGGCTGTCTGTTGTTCGATCATGAGGAGTTCTAGTGGCTCTTATCAGCTCCAGAGGTGGACTATGGCTTTCTTCACCACCCGCTTCCATCTTTGGATCTAATGGAAGATGAGGAGATCGTGCATCAGGCACATGATACGCGATTCGAGGAGCTGTCAATGCTTCCTGTTGAGCTCTGAGATATTGTTGGAATTGCAATGGATGTATATAATGGGGTGGTAGTTCAGCAGCCCTTGAAAGTCCTCCATAATGATTGACAACGTCACCCTAGAGAAAAAAAAATCGATGAATAAAATTAATTGAAAGTAGAAATAAAATTAATCAATAAACGAACAAGAATAATAATAATAATATATAATATTGTAAGGAGATAATGATTGAGTTTTTATTGATTTTTGGTAGAATGAAAAAGCTGTAAGTACCTGAGAAGCATTAGCATGATGATGAGCAGGTGGGGGCAGTGGAGGGCTCTGAGTTCGATGTGGAGGAACGAGCCCGTATTGACCTCCTGGTGATGGAGCTGCGCCTGGAGGTCCATGCTAACCAATACCAAGCACAGTTAGTTAGTTTATGTAAATGCTTTTAGTTTTTAATTACAACACATCAGCAATTTAATTTAAATAACAATTCAATGAAATTAGCATTAAATATCCATTTAACAAGCATTGTTCACGGAATTGTTTTTAACCGTTAATTTAAATAGATGCCCTTCTATTTTTTGAGAGTAATTGTAATTACTATAACGATTATTTAACATTAAAAAAAATTGTTTGATTTATTACTGTAAATTAATTTTTTTTCAATACCTATTTTATAAAGTTTTTAATAATTTAGTAATACATAAAAAAATAATCTTACCAGTGCTGCTTCAAAGGGAGGAACTGGAACTCCTCGTCCTGGGCTTGCAGTTGGCACCATAATACATCCAGACATTGAAACCTCAACTTTAGGTGGTTCCATTCCAGCCATCTGAGATTTAAGTACTGCAGAACGTGAGCAACTCGCTGCAGAAATAACAGGCTTGGATCCAATGATATGTGATTCAGTGGGAGGACTAGAAACTCCTCCACTGACAATTGTGGGAACTAAGGCTTGCAATAAATGAGCTTTTGGATTGGGTAAATGAGGCTGACCATTGATACCCTTTAAACTTGTTGCTTGAGAAACTGGATTGTGGATTCTTGGGACCGGAGTTGTCGCTACATTACTTGGATGAACGTTAATCCCTATTTTCTGTGGCATGTTAACGATCGTAGGCGGTTGTTGTTGCTGCTGCTGTTGTTGTTGTTGTTGTTTAGCAGCTTGAAGAAGATGTTGCTTAGGATTTGGTGGAATGTTTGAACTGTTTAGTACTGGTGACATTGGCTGGCCAGGCTTTCCATTAGCAGCAGCTGCGGCAACAACAGAACTGCTTACTGGAGGTATTTGTTGCTGCTTTGCTCTTGGACTTAAACTCGGAGAAACTACTCTACCAGGTGGAATTTGTAAACGTAGTCCTTGATGTGCTTGATTGGGCTGTTTAATAATATTCAAAACTGTTGGTTGGCTTGGCATAGACATCATGGGCTTGTTTACAACAATTTGTTGAGCAACAGGAGTGCTGGCAAGTTTACTTGGATTTAATACATGAGCTTTCAAACTAGTTGGCTTAGATTGTACTGTGGACACAGGTGTTTGAGTAACGACAAGATTCGTAGCAGTAGTAACTATTGTTGATGTTGTTGAAGTTATTGTCGGCTGAATGACTACGGAAGACACTGGAGGCGCAGCTGGGGGTTGTGGTTTCGTAATAACACTCGGCTGAGACGTTATTGATTGATTCTTTGATGGTTGACTCAAGTCTGCAGGCTCCATACTTGGCTCTGCAACTTCTGTTGATGGCGGTGGTGGTAGTGATTGTGGTTGTATTGGTTGTGGCGGTTTAACTTCTTCAGAAACAGGTCTTGGATGCTGAGGATAATTTTCAATTGTATTATTTTCAACTGTAAGTATTCTGGTTTCTACAATAGGCCTTGGAATATTCTGAGTCTGTCCGGATGCTGAAGAGACGGGTATATATTGACCCTCTTCAGATTCTCTCATCGGTATAAGCATTCCAGTAACAGGATCTATAAGAGTCATTGGTTCTAACGCTGAAGATGTTGGTTTTTGAATTGCTTGTGGATGAGTAGTAGGCTTGGGTTCTTCCACCTTTGGAGTTTCATTTGTCTCAGGCTCTTCAGTACTAGATTCTCTTCCAACTGTTACATCTTTACTCTTTTCTTCACCACTATCTTCATTGGTTTCAGAAGTCCTTCTAGTTGTTTTTCTAGCACCTCTAGCTGATTTACGTGGCTCTACTGGATTTATTGGTTGTTGAACTGGTTTAGGTGTTGCATTATTGTGTCTAGTACTTCTTCTAGTAGCATGAGTGCCAGGTAAGAGTCCTTTATTGGCTGCACCCCGTACAACATCTTCAATAACATCATCAACAGTTGTTCTACTACCATCTTTTTCAGCCAATCGCTTAGATTTTCTCGTATTTGCAGCTGGCGACACAAATTCTTCGGCCGAAACTTCTTTAACAGCGGCCACTGGTTGAGTAGATTGAGCATTAGGACCAGTAGCCACAGTTGGTCCAGGTGATTTGATGGTTAAAATAAGTCGTGGACGGCCAGCATTATCTTCTTCACTATCATCATGAAATTCATATACATCCGCCGGGAGTTTATTCTTTTCTTGTTTGTTATTTCGTGCTGTCCTTCCACCTCTTTTACCCGGAGTTGTGGTTCTATTTACTCGCCTGGAAGCCACCCCACCACGACCTCCACGACCCTTCTTTGATCTTGCACGACGAGATCTCGTAGATTCAACTTCACACGTTTCAACCCCTTCATCTTGATCATCATTATTAGAAAAGTCTTTTTTGCTGTCTCCTTCAGCAGACTCATTATCCGGCCAGTCTTCACTTTTACTCGTATCATGATGATCTTCGCTTGTTTCCTCATCTTCATCATAGTTAATCTCTTTACCTGTAAACAGTGCATCGCAAAGAGCATCGACAGTTTTAATGACACTTTCGATATTTACTTCTTTAGCAGACCAGTAATCACTGTCTTCTTTACTATCAGTAGGATCTTCTTTTGAATTATCAATAGCCAGAGGATCAGAACTTGGCTCTTTTACAGACTCTTCAGTTGTATCTTCATCTTCATCGTCGTTTTTTACAGCCACGTCAACATTTTTAACTTCTTCTGGTGTTTCCGTCGTTACTTGAGATTCAGTTTTAACGACAGTCGATTCCGATAAGTTAACAGGAGCTGAAGAAGCTGTAGAATTGTCTGTATTTTCTTCTTCAAACTTCTCTACTTTAACTTTTGATTCGATATTTTCAGATGCTTGTTCTTGCGGTTTAGTTTCGATCTCTGGCGTTTTATGAAGGTCAATAGCTTGAGAGGTTTCTTCTTGCTTTTCTGCATCGAAAGTTTGAGGTGGTTGAGATGATGTAACAACCGGTTTCGATGATGGTGGAGTCGGCAAATCTTCAGTAGGTTCAACTTTAGTTTTTTGATCTCCAAATCTTTCTGGTACATCAGTGGGATTGGCTTCAATCACAGACTGTGTTGTCGATGTAGAAATTGTGGTAGGTATTGAAGTAACACTAGAAGTAGATACTTTAGTGATTGATGATTGGGTAACAGTAGAAACCAGAGGAATATGTGACTTGACGAGTAAAATTCCTTGTGAAATTGGAGTTTGTCGTGATAATTGTCCACTTGGTTGATGTGCTTGGGAGACAATCGGTGATTTTTCATGAGATACTTGAGAAGCTTGTGATACATGTTGGCTTACGACCGGTACAACTGTTTTTATCAATGGCTGATTAGGTGATGAAACAGTTGGAGGTACTAAATTGATATTAGAATGAACAACAGATTTGTGGACAAGATGTTGACCATGAGCAACAATAACAGGACTTGGTGCAGAAGTATGTGAAGGATGAGTTGTAAGAAGATGAACATTTGTTAACTCTTGCTTTTGTTTCGGAGATAACATATCACTTTCTGCAATCGACTGCTGCTTTTGTCGTGGAGATAAAGCAACACTCTCAGTTGTACTTGAAGTTTTGGCAAGAATGGACGTTGATGTGCTGGCACTGATTTCAATTTTTGCTGTCTCAGGAATGAATGTTGGTGGTTGATTGGGCGAAGGAACTTTTGGAGATGTCGAGGCCTTATTAGTTGATTCTGGAATTACAGCCGGAGACAATTTAGGTTCATCTAATCGTTGTGGAGACTCATTAGGGTGAGCTGGAATTAGTGTTTCAATAACAGATTTGCCTTCGAATGCTATTGGATCTCGTGGTTTGCTTGGATCTCTAGGAATTCCAGATACTAGTGAAGGTACAGGCATATACAAACGAGTAGGAATATTTAAACTTAATGGTGGAAGACCTCCTCGAGGATAACTTGGTGCCAAGGCTCGCATTCCAGGTGCATGTTGAATTAATGGTTGTTGACTTGCAGCCGTTGAATAAATATGCTGAGACGATACTTCAGGGCGATGAATCGAGAGTGGAACACTCACAGCTATTCTTGCAGGTGTTGTTGTTGATTTTACCGCGTGAGAAAGATGAGAACTAATTGTAGAGCCTCTGGACCATTGGCCATTAGGCGATAATGGTTGAGAAACACGTGGAGATAATTGTGAAGGTACAAGAGTTGAAACTCGAGATTGAACAAGAGGTGGTACCGTTGTAGGCGTTCCAGATACAGATGAAGACGGTATTGTCGTAACTACTGGCATCCTTGGTGGTGTTTGTCGTAGTGGTGGAGCCATTTGACTTTGTGGTGAGACAGGAAGTCTTTGATAAAGAGGCTGCTGCGCTGAGGTAACAGAAGGTCGTGGACTAGCAGCTGATAATCTTGGTGTTTCATTAATAATAGGTACACTACAAGGGAATGGTTGCTTGTATTGAGGCGTGGGTGAAGATGGAGGAACCGTTAAAGCCTCATGACCTACAAATTTCTCTTGATTGACTTCCGCATCTGTGGCTTCAGTTTGTGGTGCAGTTATGACTGGTTTGTGGTCGTCTGGCCACGAATGCGTGATAATTGAAGTTGGCGGCGGGCTTGGTGGTTTTACAGAAACTGGCGGAGTCATTGAATTTTGTGCTACCTTCTCAGGAACTACTGGTACAGTTTGTTTATTAACTGGAGATTTGTAGAATGAAGGAATATCCGGTGTCTTTGGTGGTTGTGTTAGGTCGAATGAGTCATATGTAGGATCTTCTTCAGTATCAGTGTCAATTTGTAAATCGTGTTCACTTTGAGGAGTATCAGGTTTTAAATCAGCATCAGCTTCCGCCGTAGATGCATTAAGGCTTTCTACAGCTTGTTGCATTTCTTCAACATCTTCTTGAGGTGCTTCTGGTTGTGGACCACTAGCACCGTCAGCTTCCGCTTCTTCTTCGTCACCTTCATACGAAAAGTCTTCTGTAGAAACACCAAAGGTTTCTTCCAGTAAGGCAGCCACCGCATCTTCAGTTTCTTCTTGTGAAATAACAACTCGAGGTTTATCTTCCACTTGTGGCGGAGGTGTAGCGGGTGCTGACACTTCAGGTTCATGATTACCAATACCAGACTGTCGATCACTTTCACGTTCTTCAGGTTCAGATATGCTTTTAATAGCATTTTCATGAATTTTTTCGTCGATATCAATACCAAAACCAGGAATAAATTTATCTTTTTTCTTTTCCAATTTAGTAGAAATTGTATCGACTGGTAAAGGTGCAGAGATAGGTGTTGAATTCTTTGGAATAGGACTGAGCAATGTTTCTCTCGATGGAAGAGTCGGAGAAGCAGTTTTACGAGGTAGAGGACTACTAGCTCGTGGAGGACTAGGATCAGCTCCCAAATACGGCAAGGCTCCACTTTTATCATGATGATGATGGTGGTGGTGATGGTGATGATGATAATCCTTTCTACTACGCTCCTCTTTTGACTTCTTTCGCTTTTTCTTTTTCTCTTTGACCTTTTCTGGCACCGTCGCAGATGTTGATGGTTCAATACTATCATTGTCATCAGTAAACCTGAAGACGTCATGGTCATTGCTCTCTGTACCAGTTGCAGTCTTAGGAGAGACAGGTAATCCAAGAAGTTTAGCTTCAATTTCTCGTCCAGCTTCTGCAAGATCAACACTATTTTCATCTTCAGCTTGATGACGTCGCTTCTTCTCTGTTTTTCTTCTGACTCTTTCTACATCGAGTATAGGAGATCTTGCAACGTCACTATCAGACCCGTAGGCGTTATTTTCTGATGGAAGACTGCCCAGACGATTGAAGAATGCTGTTGGTGGTGCTTCGTCAACATCATCAGATAAAGGACCAAAAATATCCTCCATTCGTTGAGAATCTCTTGCTTCTTGTCTACTAAGTCTCTTTCTTCTCGTCTTGGCTTTATCTTCACTAGTTCTTTCTCTTCGCTTTTCTTTCTTATTCCTCTGCTTTTTCTCAGCTCGCATTCTATCATCAGACGTCTCACTAACTGTCGCTGATGCAACGGTAGTCGAATCATTGACATGATTTGGCCGACACTCAGTAGAACTAGACAATACATTTTTAGTTTTATGTTCATTATTGTCCGAAGATTCAAGTTTAATACTTCCTTCTTCACTAGAAACAGATATTTTTGAACGTTTTTGTTTCTTTTTATGAGACTTCTTCCTCGAATCTCGCTGATGATTATTAACAACAGGATGATTTGATGGGAAAGAAACCACTCGTTCCTCATCGTCTGAAGATCTAGGTTCTTCTTTAACCGGCCTAATGTTATTTATTGATGAAGACACTGTAATATTATGTTTCTCTTCAGTGTCTGCAAAACCAAGATCAACATCACTCTCTAAGAATCTCTCAGTTTTTATCTTGTGTACTTTGTTGTTGAACGATTCCTCTTCCTCACTAGTGTCTGAATGAATTCGTGAGCGTGATCCTTTCCTGGAAAGTGACTTAGTACGAGTAGAGTCTGATTCAGAAGTACCTTCGTCTTCTGTAAGAGCTTTACTGCTCACAGAGTCACCATCCCAGGAAGTACTTTGTTTCTTCTCTTCGCGTCTCGCACGACTTTGTTTTAACTGTGAAAATTTATCTTTTAACTTAACTTGACGCTTTTCTTCTTCAAGTTTTTGCATATTTTTCGTCGATCGAGCTTTTACTTTGTCATACATAGAAATGTAAGCAGGTTCATCGTCAGGAATATCAAATATCGAATGTTTCTTAGGCTCATCACTATCGGTATCAGTATGAGACGGATGTCTCGTTTGCATTTCATGATTTGAAGAATGACCATCATCATTATCACTGTGAAGATTGAGGGGAACATGATGATGGTCACGTTGTGATGATTCCCTATGATGAGAACCTTGATTATTAGGAGGACTTGCATCGGTTCGTTTAGAGAGCTCTATTCTTCCCAGAAAATCTTTATCGAGTTCATGAGATACCCGCGGACTTCGTTCTCTTTCTCTATCCGATCGTTCCAACCGATTTCGTTTTTTCTGTTTGTCTTTTCCACTTGTATTGTCTCGGTTATCTCTATTCTCTCGACTATCACGACTTTCCCTTGATTCACGACTATCTCTACTCTCCCGATTTTCTCGACACTCTTTCAAATCTCGAGGTTCTTTATTTACATCTGTATGAGATTGTGATGCATCTCTGCTCTCTCTACTCTCTTGACTTTGAACTGATGTTGATGAATCTTTACTGTCCCGATTTTCCCTGCTTTCTCGACTAGCTCTGTGTGAATCATTTCTGTGTTTTCGATCTTCTGACCTTCGGTTTTGTTTAGGTCGGTCTTTGCTGTCTCTTCTGTGGTCAGAAATTTTCATTCTTTTACTCTCATCTTCTTGAGGAGTATCTTGAGAGGAACCTCGTCGTTTTAAAGGTACAGGCGCAGGAGAAGCTTGCCCTTGAGTCTGATTTGAAAGATGAAGATGATTTTCCGTAGGTTGTCGTCTTGATTCATCGCGATCGCGTTTTTCTTTATCTTTTTCTTCGCGATCACGTCTTTTGGTGTGTTCAGCCTTTTCTTTCTCTCGCCTCTCTTGATCTTCTCTTTCTCGCCTTTCTCTCTTTTCTTTTTCATGTTTTTCTTTCTCTTTTTCAAGTTTCTCTTTCTCATCTTTTTCTCGCTTCTCTTTCTCTTGCTTTTCACGTTCTTCCTTTTCTTTTCGTCTTTCACGTTCAACTTTTTCTCTCTCCTCCTTCTCTCTTTTCCGTTCTCTATCGATTCTTTCTTTTTCCTCTCGTCTCCTTTCCCGCTCGACTCGTTCGCGTTCTTCTCTTTCTCGTTTCTCTTGTTCTTCTCGTTCTTTTCTAATTCGTTCTTTTTCTTGTTTCTCTCGCTCAAGTCTCATTTCCCGTTCCTTCCTCTCACGCTCTTCTCGTTCTCGTCGTTCTTGCCTTTCTTTTTCTTCCCGTTCTTTTCGTTCTTTTTCAATTCGATCTTTTTCACGTTTCTCTTTTTCTCGAGCTTCATTTTCTTCCCGTTCTTTTCTTTCGCGTTCTCTTTCCTCTTTTTCTTTCCTTTCTTTTTCTTGACGTTCTTTATCGAGCCTCTCTTTTTCACGACGTTCTTCATCTTTTTCTCGTCGTTCTCGTTCCTCTCGCTCTTTTCGTTCTTGTCTATCACGATCCTCTTTATCTCGCCTTTCTTGTCTTTCTCGGTCTTCTTTATCTCTCTTATCACGCTCTTCTCGTTCTTTACGTTCATACCTAGCTTCTTTATTTTCTTTCATTTCTCTGCTATGTTTTTCTGTTTCGCTCGATGACTCAATCGACGTAATAGACTTTTCATCTTTATCATCTCGTTCTTTTCGATTCTTTTCGAGTTCATTATCATCTTTTTTCGTTTTCCTAGAGTTCTCTTTTCCCCTGTTATGCCTTGGATCTCGACTATCGCGACTATCTTTACTGCTACCTTCCTTTCTTTGTTTTATTCGAGTTGAATCAACTAAAGGGGTTGTTATTGTAGATGATAATATGGAAGAAGTTGAAGTTATGGATGCTGAAGACGTAGATGATTGATGATGACTACTACTTGATGTAGCAATAGTCGTAGTTGCAGTAGTAATAGAAGTTATTGTACTAATTAATGCTATGCTAGAAGTTGATGTTGAAGATGTAACTGCACTAGCTATCGAGGTAGATCCAATATTGGTTGTTCTTGCAGTAGAGGCAGCAAGAGCTTGAGCAGAATTGCTATTAAGATTACTTGCTGATGCCAAACTACTGTTAAAGCTGTTGATACTCGCTGCTGTACCGCTACCTAGCCCAATTGGTAAAGATACCGGAGGTAACTCTGGACTGGCAGTCTTGATTGATGTTCCAGGAGTAATTGGAGTCGCAGGCGTTGGATGTACACAGTTATGTACAGCTGTTCGTGGATCAGTCTTGAGCGAGGGCGAAACAAGAGTCGTTGTTGCTGCTGTTGCTACTGTCGTTAAGATTGATGAAGAAACCATGTTTCCTGTACTAGATGTAGTATTGTTGGACTGTTGTACCGGTGGATGACTAGGGAACGGATACTGCAAACCAACTTTACTACTACAGGCCCCACTACTGCCTAAGTTAGATGATAAGCTCGAAGAACCCACACCAGTTACTCCAGTAAATTCTTTGGGTTCATATTTCTCGCTAAAATTTTCAAGTCTTTTAGAATCTTCGTCAAATACACTCTTTTTTGCCAACACCGATTGAGCGATGTCTGAAGGTTGAAGTTGATTGACGTCAAGATCAAGAAGTCTATGACGCAGCCTAAACTTTTCCGATGCTGAAGCATCAAGCCTTGCTAATGTATCACCGCCTGCAGCACTTAAAGCTCGTGAGCCTGACCATTTTTCGTACCTTTCATCAAGAGAACGTATCTTCTCGGCAAAACTTGGAGATTGTGGTGCTATTTCACTGTCTGAGCTCGTTGGACTCGGACTTGAATGTCTTGGAGGTGGAGATGCTGGTGGTTGAGGGACTGGACTAGGAACTGATGATAAATTAGATGCACCTGGCGGACTCATGACCTTTGATAATCCTGAACTGCTCGATTTCGTGCAGCTAGTATTATTATTGTTAATAGTATTGTTACTAATAGTGTTAATATTATTGTTGTTACTATTATTACTACTACTACTGCTATTGTTGTTATTGTTGTTGTTGCTATTACTCGTGTTGTTATTATTCATCATTTGTGCAGCAAACCTAGGAAGAGGCAATGAGAGTGGACCCTCTTGACTTCTCTCTCTAAACCTCCTAGGCTCACTTGGAATGATATTCTCTGGTCGTTCATCTACAAGAGGCGTACCAGGCCTAGAGCCATCATGATGTTCATGATGTCTACTTGAAGTATCTCTTCTTCTTTTACAAGGTCCAGGCCCCCGTCCTTCACAACTTCCTCTTCGTGTGCTATGATGTACAAGTATTTTACTATCACTAACTCTTCTCACATCCATTCCTTTTCTTCCAGAGTGTGAGGTTACAAGAAGTGATGCTATTTCAGGTTCATCATCCTCGCAAAGTATTGACGACGATGACTCGAGCTTTGGTCGTTTCTTAGGCGCAAAACCCTCATCACCACTACTATGACATTCTTCTAATTGTTCAAGCAAATGCACTCTTTCTTTTTGTAGATGTCGTATATCTGGTGGTGGGTGTAACATTGACGATGGAGGAGGTTCAACACTAGTAACAACACTTTGAACCACATGACGTCGAGGAGGAGGTAATAAATCGTCGTCATTAAGTTTACTGTCTCCTAAAACACTACTTTCGTAATCGTCATGACTTGCACCACTTCCTTGGCTAAATTCATCATAACTCCTGAATCTTCTCGGCGCAGGATCAGGGTAATCACCATCATAATACGGATCCGCTTGATAGGAACGTCTACTAGTCCGTGACATAGCCGTAGGATGAGCAGGACTAGCACCAGGCGTACTTCCACCTCCTGGAGTCCGAGAATAACTCGCTGTCCTTGCTCGAGGTGGTGTTTCATACCTGGTAAACCAGCTCCCTGAATTAGGTACGGTGACAGCAGACTCAAAACTTCGCTCCCTCCTAAAATGAATTTTTAACCATTTTAGAAAAATGTTTGTCAACAAAAATTTTTAAAATTAATTTTTCTTCTTATTTTTAATGTTAAAACACATCGTGATGAAGATGTTCTAAGGTGAATAGAGATGAAAGACAGTGAAGATACTCACGCAACTTCGAATGTCGTTACGGGTGACGGCCTCGAATCCCATGGCTTTTCGCCTGTGACACCTTGCCGCTCAAGATGTTCGTAGAATGTCTCCTGACACTCCCGCGAGGCAAAATCAACTTGTAGTCGACGTCCTCTTAATGATGCACCTCTCATCTCTTTGACCGCCGTTTGAGCGCAATTAATTTGTTCAAAAAACACAAGCGCGTGGCCTCGTTCACGATCTACCACCACTTGGTTAACAGGTCCAAATTGGTGAAATTGCATATTCAGGTACTTCTCCGAGACACACTCGCCAATACCATCAACCCACACACACGTTGTCGGCATGGATTTACCAAAACCGAGCTTAATACGATTTGCACCAAGATGCTCACCATCCATCGACCTCATTGCTTTAACAACACTAGTGATATCCGAGTATTGACAAAATGCATAACTTGACACGGCTCCCTGCTTCTTAATGTCGATTTCCTGGAAAAAAGTCAATTCAATGCATTAATATCGCAGTCATTGCACTTACAGTCTATACATGTATTTATATCAATGCACATTATTAAAAATTATAATAACATAGCACAGATTTTATGTTAAAATTACTCTAAAAAAATTCATTTCAAATTTAAATAGCTATAAAAGTCAGAATTTTTTTAATTTCAAAACTATTAACGTCATAGAAGCTATGATTTTTAAAATTACTAGCATTATAAAAGTCATGGAAGTCATAATTTCCAGTCGTTTTTTTTTTTGGAGTCATAAATCTTTTAAGAGTCAGTTGTGACATTTCAAAATCATCAAACACATAAAAGCTGTAATTTAAAAAAATCCTAAGATCATAAAGATTACAGTCTCAAAGACCATCAAGTTGATCTGAATATTTTTGAATTTTTATGCAAAACACAAGTAATTTTAGAAATATTGAAAAAATAAAAACAAATACTCACGATAATTTCTCCAAATGGCTCGAAATGCTTCCTGAGTTCAGACGCCGTGACATCTTTTTCCAAATTGCCAATAAATAATGTTCGTGTTGCTTTAGGATGATATTCATCTAGTTCAGCCTCAAACGGCCTAAACTCATTATCATCAACATCATATCCTTGATAAGGCGCCACCTCAATCTTATATCCAAAGAACTGTTTGTCACGCGAGACCTCGAGCGCTTTCTCAACATCCTCAGGCTTCTTGAAGCAAACAAGTGCATACCTATCACTTGCTGCACCAACCACTTTAACCCACGTAACTTTCCCATGCTTTTTGTACTCATGAAAAAGTCCATCTTTGAGTGAGGTGTCGCTACTTCTTGCTGGTAAATTTCTCACACAAATCGCCAACGGCCTCCTGTCTTCGGATACAGCAGCATTACCAGTACGATGAGGTGAACTGCTTGGAGAACTGCTGTCGCCAGATGAACTGCCAGCAGAGCTGTTACTTCGACTGCTGCTACTGCTTCCAGAACAACTGGAACCACTTGGTGAACTGCTACCACTGCGGGATTTTCTTCTTTGTTTCTTGTGTTGTCTCAGTGTACCACTGTTTCCGCCGCTCCCACTGTTCCCACCGACACTCCCGCTATTGACTCCACCACCTGACAGAAAAGCAGAGCGTGATGGTATGTCCCACGACGGCCTAATCGAGGGCGCGCCAACTAGTTGTGTGCAGAGTGAGTTTATGTTTAAGTGTATGTTTTTGATGTTAAGTTAAATGGTGATCTAGTGAATTGTTAATGAGATGGATAAAAAATTGAAAAGGAAACAACTTTGTCCAGACTTGTCCAAATGAACTTGAATGTTCACAACTCATCAATGAATCACCGTCGAAACTACTAAGGGTTCTTTTGAAAGTAAAATCTATTCAATAGAAAAAATCATCTCAACTAATAGAAAAGTAACAAAAGAGTGATTCAATGTAAAGAATATGATTTTATCTCATAAATTATAGTTTCTATGATGATTGGTTGAGGAGTTGTAGGCATTGAAAGCAAAAAAAGAACTTTTATTTTGATCATAATGAATCCTCTAGTGAAAAGAAAATTTTTTTAATTATTGAAACTAGACAGATAGAATTTAATAAAATATAATCAAATGAAATGAATGAAAATGTATAAAACAATAGTCAGCATTTGAAATATGCTTAATAATCGAAGTTAAATGAAATAATTTAAGGGTGGCTACACTGAATAAAATTAAATTCAATTACTCAGCAAAAAATGGGATATTAGTATGTATCAGAGAATATATCTTTCTGTACTTTTGTGAGTTAATTTTGGATTAGTGGTGTTGGATTAGTGATGGTGATAAAAAAGAAATTCTTACCAGGTTCTTCCTGATAGCTATCGGTAGCCGCTGGTGATGGGGGTGGTGGTCCTGATCCATACCTCGACGATCCTGACTCATAACCAATCCAAGACGATAAAGGAATACCACCTCGATGTCGATCTAAATGAGATGGTGGCGGTGGACCGGCAGCGTACGAACTTGTGCGTGGATACAACCGATCCCTCGCCCTCGTCGACGTCACGTGGTAGCCACTCGTTGGTGTTGGTCTTCCTCGGGGAATATAACCCACTGGGTCGACCGTTGACGAATCAACCGAGTGTTCCACTCGATTACTTCTATCACCGGCGTAGAAACTTCCGTGGGATACGCGTGACTCGAAAGTCTCGCTAACTCTTTCGACTCCTCTCTCACTGACTCCAACACTGACACTTCCTGAGACTCCGCTCCCTGCGCTACTGTTAACGCTGGATCCATGATCCTCTGAACTTCTGTAATAATAAATTATTGAATGAGAACTTTTATTTAAGCATATAAAGTTAAAATATATATTTTTTTATATCAACAAGAGATGAAATAAATTCAATACTTTTTAAGTTATCAGGTAATACCATTTTTCTTTCTACAAGATATATTTTTGCAGCATTAAATGACTATTAGTAGAAAAAAATAGTATCTCGATAAATAAATTAAGTACATCTGTTTTAAAATTACTTTATTACTCAGCAGGTGTCCAATATTGTCATTTTTATTGGATACATTTTTCAAACCAAGTTCTTTTCAATAAACTTTCACTCAATTCTGGAAACACGTGTTTCTTCAACAATATCCAAAATACTTTTTGTTTATGATTCAGCCAGAGGCTTACAATAAAATATCATATTCAACTTTCTAAATAAACGATGCAATTTATTACTTTGCGACTTGTAAAAAATAAAGTAATATTTTTTTTTGAAATGGATAAAAGAGTCAATTTATTCTTGGTAATTTTTTTATTGTTGTAATTCGAATAAAATGATATGTGACCTAGAATGATTGAAGAAACATTGAAAAAACAAACACATCAAGTCTGGGTTCATTATATAACTTTTAAGAATGATATAACCTAAGAATAATGAGAATCAATATTCACTTACATTGAGATAATACAAAAGGATAAAAATAAGACTCGAGTGAAAAATAGAATAAAAGGTTAAATACTCCAGAGGAGTTGGTGCAATTCTAGATAATAAACATGCCACTTATAACGAAGCCACACCGAGTGCTTGTTTAACAAAAAATGGAAATTTGTTATTACGAACTTTAACTGCTTCTGAAAAGTGATGAAGCCCTCTTCAAGTCACTAGAATAATTGCAATGTTGTAGTATTATATAGGAATGAATACATGAAACAATGAAAATTGAATGGACATGGCGATTTATTTTCTACTAACATGCAAACGTGTTTCTTACGGTTTCCAGACTTATTTTTCTCGTTGGCGCCCACGAAAATAAATGGTAAATCGCTTATGTAGTTGGCACGAAGCAGCTTAGTAGCAAGCAAAGTGCCTTCATTCGTCTCTTCATGTTCTCAAAATAATTCGTTTCCAGCTTGTTTGAGTGTCGGATAGCAGGTCATCGGTTGAGAGAATAAATAAGTAGCATTTGTAACACGATGCTTCGTGTTTCTTTCATGAATAAACGTTCAATGAGTGATTTTGATTAGTACATGGACATATGGCAAAAAAGGATGTCTTGTTTATATGTCATGAAAAGTATAGTAATGCAAAAGATGGAAAACAAAAGTACTACGTATTTATACACTCTAACCGACATCGAGCTATTGTACAAAGAAAACAGTTGGTTCGAAGGCCATACGATATGTCAAAATGACGATACGATAACGTACATACAAACAGACGTTGTATTTCTAAAGACATCAAAGTTTTTCTACCAAGAATGTTTGGTTTTGTCTTTCTGTATTTGTTCCATTGCAAATGCATTTAATAAATATTTTGATTGATTTTTAATTTTTATTAGTAAAACTTATTGTTCTACTTTTATGCCAATACAATTATTGGAGCAGTGTTGATAGATTTTGTTTTTTTCACATTAAATACTACATTGTTTGTTTTAAATATACATTTATCACATCACTATCAGATTCACATTATTCTACATCACTTTAAAAATATAGTCTCATTAAAAAAATTTAATGATAAAGATGATTATCAGAATAAAGTTGATTGTTTCCTAGAAGAATAGAATGAAACCATGAAAAAGATATAATAATCCCAATGGGAAAAAATATTATAAAAAATCTTGGAAGTGTAGAAAATAGTCTGAAAATCCTTTACAAACCACCAACAAAATTAGCTGACTTCAGATTTGGAACAAAGTTTTCAAGTTTCTGGAGTGAGGCCAATATTTCAACTTCTTCTGTACTAGTAGAGTTTTTTTTCTCTCATGTCAAAGCTAGTAGAGATCTGTCAGACATTTTCTATTTTTATTTGGCTCCAAATTTAATTATCCAAATCATTATAAATACTATTTAATATTTCAAATATTTATTGATGTTTTTATTTTTATTTTTAATGCTACATGAGTCATTTAAAATGATTGAACTGCAGTTGAAGTAGATAACAATTATTTTGATTATTCATATCAAGCTTTGCAGCGATATTGTCCAGTTGATAACGCGTATATCATTGTAGAATTGAACGAAGAAAATGTGTATAGAGGAAATATATGTATATAAAACATGTACATATGTCTGAAGGTTTTCTATAGCCTTCTCTCTTTTTTTTTTTTATTGCAATTTGCACCAAGTCATACAATGTATGCACAGACATACTGATTCTCTCGGCAACGCCGCATCATTTTGTATAGCATACCATTGTCATAGTCGTCAACATCGTCACAGTCACCTGACTTTGTGAAATCAGGACATATATTATATAGTTGCTCCTGAATCTGCATTATTATACATTCAGAACAAAACATGTAAAGTAATAATGCGATAGATTTTCTATAGAGATATGAAGAAATTTGCATGGGAATGAAGCCATAAAATTTCACTAAAAATTATCATTTGTCCAAAATTAAGCTAAATGAACATTTGTGTTAATATTTTTATAATAAAATTTGATATTTAAAAACAACTTCATTTAAACTAATGTACTATAATTGATATATTTTTTGTTACTCCATGTTCAAGCAGACAACGTACATTAAAGTATGAAAAAAAAACGAATGAACTTCAGAATTAGAAGAAATTCTTTTTAAAATTCAAACATTCAATGTCATGATTATAATATCAACGTCAGAAGTCATGAAGATTTTTAATGAGGATGTAGAACGATTGACGTAGAAGCTAAAAGCAAATGCATGTACTGCATTATGGTAAATTCAATTTTTAAGTTATAATTCAGATCACGTTTACATTAATAAACGAAAGAAAGGTTTGATTTGAATGTAAGAATAATTAAAATTCTGAATTTTGTATAAAATTATCATTAAAAAAAAAGAAGAAAAGAAAGTATAATATAATACACTTGTTCCCTGAAGGTTGTCAACCGATACTTCAACATCATATGACTCCAAAGATAATACCAAAAATAATAATTATTTCAATAAATATTAAAAATATGAAATAATACTGATAATTAATGATAATAATAACAGAAATTGTTTTCATAATATAAAATTGTGGCAGAAAATAGAGTATAAGGTATTGAAAGAGAAATAGTATTGATGGTATAATTAAATAGATTAACTTTTAGATTTTTTATCTAGTTTAAATATATCTCTATCTAATGTCTTATCAGTATGATTGGAAATAATGTTTATTGATTACATATTTTATGTTTCGAAGCTATCAATAAATTTGGAAATTAGAAAAAAAAAGATTGCAATATCTAGTAGTATCAATAGGTAAACTCACCAAACAGGAAAATATTTTTCTAATCAATAACTTGATGAATGAATCATGTAACTCAAAATCTATCACGTGTGAACATTTTAATACAGACGGCGGTTTTATAATTTTTTTTTTTAATATTTCTTATCATCTTATCATACTTCCGGCGATGTATATATTTAATTCAACAATAATCATGATCGTGAAAGTCTAACCAAGGTTATGAACGATCTATATAGTCGTACACAGCGGATATATATTAGTATAATTGTATAATCGTTAGAGAATATATGTAAGGTCTTTTACAATAAATTTATACCAGTGAATCTATAAACATGTTGTCTTCAATAACCCAGTTGATTCAATAAAAATAATAATTGACATGAATATCTATGATTATAAATCGGGGGAAAAATAATAAGAGAAATATAATGACTGAATTGAAATGAAAAAAAAAATGGAAGAAACACAAGACTTTCAAGGTTTTCAAATGTATTTCTAAAGATGTAGGTTATGAAACGTGACGATAATTAGCGGTAGTGTGTCGAACACATTCACTAGAATGGAAAAGAATACAAGGATGTTACTCACTTAATAGAGAACTCATTTGTAAAATAATTTGCAATACTCTCGATCCGTGGCTCAAGATTAAATTCTAGCCATTGTTTTTTATATTCCCATTCACTTGCATCCAACACAGTATCCACAGATTCATTCAATTCCGTAATTTTAAATCGACATGGCACCATATCTCTTGGAGTAACCAGTAATAAATACTTGTGGTATCCAAGCCATTATATTATACATACAGATTTATAATCGTCACCTGAACACACTTCACTTCAATTCGTAATAATAACATTATTGTATGAATAAATATCACCAAGACATTTCAACTTAATCTGGCAAATTCTAAAACGTTCTTCTGGTTTAGTCTCGTATGGAATTGATGAGTACACCGGGATAAGAAAAAAAAGTGAGACTTTACTACTAGCGGTAGAAGTGAAGATAGTGGGAGTAGGGGAAACAAAGATAGACAGAATTGAAATAACACATGTCTTTTATATATATATATATATATCAAGCTTATAGAAAAATTGTCAATCCAATTCATTGTCGAACGGAAATGATTAAATATTAATTTTATTTTGTGTCACATTATGTGTGTTTTTTTTTTTGTATCCATATATCTCTAACAGGAATCAATAACTCTGACATTGTATCATAGGAATAATTGCGGAAATACTTCTAGTATAAATCAGATTTTTATTTCTTATTTAACGTGATTTTTAAACGAATAATGATGAAATGACATTAAATACTTATGATAAGATATAAATAAAAGTGAATTCTGATCAAAGATGGGAATGGTAATTAGCAAAGTTGAAGGAATAATTGATAATAAAATAAATATTAAACATCAAGTTTTTAAACTAACTCTTGGATTCCTAGCAATTGAAGTAAATTTCCAGGATATAATTTATGTGAACGAATAACAAAATTATATATGTGTCTAAGCTGCAAAATTTCACTTAGAACATTTAGATATCTCGATAACAGTATAGAAACTCAACGGTAACTTAATATAACTACTCTGCGACAAAACGTGTGATCCAATTAATCCTCAGTTTGTTTACTTTATGAGTTAGCATCGTTTGAATAGCATTCAGTTAACGTATATTTTATTATTAGAAGTGAATAGAACACTTTAATTATTTTCAACTCTAATTGGAGTTGTTCAAGTTTTGGATATTATTATAATATATTCAAGTGGGTAATTATTATTAAGCGTAGGAAGAATAAAATTTTACTTACAATTCATGATCTAAATGTAAGTGAATATGAAGTTCAATGATAATCATGTTATGAATATATTTGGGATTTTTTTTTTACTTTAATTATTAGGTGATTCAAGAAACTAATATTTATTGTGCATTTAACAAGATTATAATAATTTTAAGTCAATGATAAAGTAATCTTCAGTTATACTACATCATGGATCTCAGCTACTCTGTTATCACATATTATTATAGACATTTATCATAATGCCTAATTACATGAATAATTGAATATCGAAATGACTGAAACATTGAAGACAATTTAAATATAACTCTGCTACTGTAATACAAATTTTTAAGTTATTATTAATTTAATTGAACAAATGTCTAGATGTTATATTTTTGGAGCAGGTATTTTAGAATTAAATTTAAATGCTGGATGATAGATGAAATAAAATAAAATCCTGCTGTGAAGTAATGAAGTTTTAACTAAATGCTAACCAGAGTAACAAAAAAAAAACGTTAAAATCATGCTATCTATGCATAGTAAGCAGGATTATTTTATTAGAAAACTTTATCATTTAACTTTGGTTTTATTGTACAATTCCATCTTCAACTTTATGATTAAATTCTATCATAAGCTTTGATGTTTTAATTTCACGATTGTCTGTAAATTTAAACATCAATAAAAAATTTAACGATGTTTATTTTTTTTTTATGAAACAATACTGAGGGTTAAATTCAAGTTCACTCAGAAATTGATATCTGCAGTCAGACAAAAGTTGATAAAAAAAAACTTGTATTAAATACAATGAAATCAGATATGAATAAATCAACTTTTAATTTGACCAACATCAAAAAATAAATTAGATTAATATCAGAGTTTTTTGTTTTATGATTGAAATGATAAACCTTTTATAATCAATGCAATAAAAAGACAATTTCAAAAGCTTCTAGAATTGCTTTGAAATTTATTTCGCTAGAGTCTTATCAAGTTGAACGAATTGTTGCGATTTACTAATACATACATAGAATAAAAGAAACAGAAGACTCTTTTACCTCTGGGAGTACTGTGAGACTTTACATTACCCTAAGTTACATTTCCTCATTTAAAAAAAAATATAATAACAAAAAAGAAAAGGATATTACTCTAGAGCAAATAATATCAACACAGTGAAATGTTTTATTAAATTCTAGCCCTTCTTGAAATTTAATTTCATCTCATTGTAACATTCTTGTTTCCATACCAAATGGAACAAGGTTAAATTGATGCAAAATAAAACTCACCCGTGCGTGGGAAACCTATGCTGAAGATGCTGAGGTTCGTAGTATTGGGTTGTAAGGGCTCTTTCGTCCAAGGTATGTTCAGTCGCGTGAGCCTTCGCTGCGGACTTGATATCCATGAACGCCACCGTCGCTGAGGCACCCCCGCTACTCGTCGAACCACCCCCAGCACTTCCACTCCCGGATCCTGTACCAGAGCCACCCTCGCTTCCCTCACCGAGTGAACCTCCGGATCCGCCGTCCACAGGGCACTCCTCGCCCCGGGGTAATAATTTGACGCTCTGCACGCGTCCATACCTGCCAACATATCAATAGTATTCATTAAAATTCACTAAATAAAATAAAACAACAACAACACTATCAAGTAGTTTTAAAAAAAATAAATAGGGTAGATTTTTATTTTGTTTTTAAACTCACTAATTATGCTACTAATCTCCAGGAAAAGTTGGAACTGTTTCCATGAGTTTTAAAGCTTTCTTTCTCTGACATGCATGGATATTTTATTGCAAGATATATTTTACTTTTTTTATATCCTCGGATTTGCCGAGAATAAAAATAAAAAACACGTAATGTCCTAATGATAAATTTAATATCTACAATGTTATTGTTGAGGAATTAAATCGAGAAATATTGTTGTTTTTTATTTGAGTAATAATTCAGTGGGCTATAGATCAGGGAAAAATATTTTTATACGTAAGAATGATATCTATTATATTGTTTATACTTTCAAGTGAAAAAGTAGACATACAGCACGTTTATGTTTTCAAATACAAAATTAATCCAAGTGATTATGACTTTTAATGAGTGTATGAAGGTTTTTTTATTTTATACTTCAAGATTGTTTGACGTATCTAATTTTAATCCAACAAATAGGAAGCTTTTGTTATTGTGTTAATAAAAAAAATGATAGAGTTGACCTTTCTTAGTGTAGCGTACATCGTGATATATTTACTCACCTATGTATTAAGTAGGTAATATTATTGGAAAAGATTATTGTTGAGGGACTGATACGTTTGATAGAAAAAAATATATTGAATTGATAGCATCCAAGAAGCTATTGTTAAAGGATTAAATAGAGAAAAAAAAGGAAGAAATGTAGTTGTTTTTTGTTGAGAGCAATATTTTATTGAGGTATAGGCGAAATGGAACATTAAATCCGAAAAAAGAGAGAGGAGGGAGCAGCAGGAGGGAAGTATCCTTTCTCAATCTAGGACCTCGTTGTGTGCTAGCAAGCGAGGCTTTCCATAATACCGGACATGAGCCGGTAAAATTAAATCAAGGAAAAAAGGGAGAACGAAGAAGAACGGGTGAAAAGAGAAAGATAAAAAATATATAGAGAGATGGGAGGCTTGGTCCGATCGAAACTTGCTCGTCTGCGTTCGCATTTACGCAGATATAAAAGCCCCTTGGATGTTTTTACTGAGAGGCCATGACGGCTTTTGCTCTGATGGCTTGAGTTAGAGGGAGCAGATTTGTGTAGGAGGAAGTGAGAAAGCAATGGGGGCTGCGCACTAACACACGGAGTTTTCAAACAGAAAACGATGATGACGGTTTCATGCAATGAGGGGAAGAAGGAAGAACATTGCATCTTCTCCAAGCAACCTAGAAGAGAGCGAGAGAGAGAGAGAGAGAGAAAGAGAGAGTGGGAGCTGTGAAAGAGGTGTATACTGTTGGAGTGGTGGTTATTGAGAACATTCGAAGAGTGGGAAAATTAAATCGCTTACGTGGACGCGCAGGCGCAAAAAAGTGTCCAAGCATCGAAGCCAACCAGGGAGTTACCCGTTTCACTTCGCGCGAGTAACACGCATTTATCTGTCGCTCCTACGTTTTTTTCATTTTAATAATCATCCATATACGTTGAGATTGTTTTATATTTTGTCTCTTCACATCAAGGATATAACGTATTTAATAGTAATAAAAATTCATCAAATCTGTGGGAGTTGGTTGAAGCTTTTTATTTTGAAAAATATGGAGAGGATATTTGAGATCATATGAAAGAAGTGACTTAAGAGGCTTCTGGAATTTTCTGTTTCAAACTTATATAGGAATTACAACGTTGCGTCATTTCACGAAATTTTCAACAGTTTAAAAAACAACTGCGTCATCAATGATAGCTTTATGAGGGATTTGAACCGATTGGAGTACTGCTTAGTGGCTAGGGCGGGGTCCTATTACTCCAAATGAGGCTTCTCTCATAATACCAAAGCATTCTCAATTTTCGTCGTGCAATGAATCCAATTAGTTGTTGAATGTTTGTCCTTCTTATTCTATCTTTATCTGCACGTAATGTAAAATACGATTTTCTACGTGGATAATAATTCGTGATAATTTTACACCGTTACTCTCTTATTATACTTGAATGTAAGACGTAGTCTCGAACTTTCTACGATTGCAGTTATTTGTATTATCGGTAAAGAAGAATTGAAAGAAATCATATCAAAATCATTTATTTATGTTTATTTTGATGATTATAATGGAATTTGGAATTATTTCTTAGATTGGCAACATCATGGAAGATTTATTAGTGAAGAAAAGTGGCAGGTGAATAAAACAGAGATGTGAGGCAAAATTACACAAAATGGCGGCGTTATTGCGCGAGAAATCATTGACGTGGTCATTATCTTGGTTGATAAAAACTACGTAATATCAAACAATTTTGCACATAACTTTTTTATTTTGAACAATTTGTTTTTTTTTTCTTTTGTAAATGAAGGTTTTTATGGCAGAGGATAGAATATGCACATAAAGAATGAGTGATATATATTTCATAATGTATTTGAGTGTTGTTGCTGACCCAAGAAATCCATTTTCTATCCCTCCACAAGTTTATTGTGGTTATTCAACCACAAGCTTGAACGGAATGGCCTGAGTAAATGCGTGCACTTTGATAGATGATCTGTTTCTCGAGGGAGAACATGTAGTGAGATAGGAATGCAAAATAAATAAAAAAAAAGAAATGAATATAAAAGATTGTGAATATAGTGAAGAAATAACTACGTGATTCAAACTCTTCAATTGATGCAGTTATCATCTTCTGCAGTCTTGCTCGAGAATATCAAGCTCGCCATTGCCTCGCGCTTTTGCAAATTCTCTTTTTCTCTGTTGATTTTCACATACAATGGACACATGATCTCAGTCGAGCCTTGACTCCCCACACTGAGAACGCCCTTTACTATTGCCACTGCAACTCACGCGCTCGTCTCAAGCTTCTCTTGGTTTATATCAGGGGAGAGATAATACCTTTTGGGAGTAGGGAGGAGTGCTTAAAGAGGACAAGCATGTGAGGAGGGAAAAGATGCGCGCGCATATCAAGCGGAGGACGTCAAAAGTTGAGGATAAAGTGAGCGGGGAAAGAGAAAGAAGGAGCAAAGTGCCACGGTGGCTGACTAGCGAGCGAGCTGTGAACCATGCGGTGTGTTTTGTCTCTTTGCTTCTTCATTTCTCAACTGATATGAGGCAAACCACGACTAAGAAACCTCACAGAGAAATTTCGCTTGCCTCGAAAACTCTTATCTCACGAGAGGATGCTCTAAATTCAAACCAAGAACCAATTTAAACTGTTCAAGGTGTTTTATGAGATGGTATTGCTTGAAATAACACTGTTTGTGGCACGAATTTATGTCTTCTAGAATAATTATTATCTTTTACACTTCTATTTCATTGGTTTCACTAACAAAATCATCATTCTTGGATCAAGAATAATTCCATTCTTGATCATAACATTCTTAAATAAAATAAAATAATTCATGTACAACATAATATGAATGAAATCAGGATAAGAACAGCATGGATCCAACATGATGGCTAGGTCATTTAAGAATATTATGATCAAGAATATGATGTTGATAGTGTTAGTAAGTAACAGCTAATCAATAATGTGAATTCTATGCAATTCTGTCATCAAATTATTCCGATATGTTGAAAAAATTGATCAATCATAATCTCGAGAAGAAAAACAGGTTGTTTACACAGTTCATATGATATCTTGAATTAACTGATTAAGAGTTGACTACTTGAAAATGATTAAAATTATCTCAAAAATAGAATCTGCTGATTATAAAGACTGACGTATAACTGGTAAGTCTGGTCAAAGTTGCAAACATTTTACTGTACTAATTTTGATGACTTTTGTAAGTATATTTCAATAATAAAGAAGAATTGATAACAATTATTTTATCATGTGAGTGAAGATTATTTTAATAATCAACCTACTACGCATTGAATTAATAACTGCGAGGTGTTAAAATAAATATAAAAGTAATTACCTAATACAATAGAGGTAAGATAGATATTGAAAAGATCATTCAACGTTGAAATTACGGTAAAATGATCCTTTTCTTTCGTTTCTGTATGTATTCTATCTATTGAATAGTGCCAACTCGAGCTGACAGAACACAGTGAACGGACTGTCATTGTCCTGGACACATCCGGAATTCGTTTCGCGTGAATTCAACGTAATTCTTGGTCCTCTGATCGGATTGGCGAGATTGTTGAGGCGATAAATGTGCCGAAATTCCTCTGGCTACGTAAGCGAATGTGTTCGCACTGGCGTTTGTCTTTCTATCTATGTTTGAAATAGGAGCCGAACGGGAAATCAATACATCGGCCAACAGTTGAGTGAGTAAGAGAGGGAGACAACTTCAGAGGGGTTGAAACTATAGAGAGAAAGAGTATGAGGCGCAAATGATGGAATCAAATATTTCTTTAGTAAACTTATAAATGTAAAAATATTATTTCATTTCCATTTTCCTTCCATTTCCAAAGATATTTTTATAACTTCTAGATGACTATGGCTATCAAGACAATGTTGTTTTTTACATTTTTTCTAAAAACAATAGCAAAGAAGAAACTCAGCAGGGGTGCGCGTTCAACGATTCTGCGAAAAGTCGAAGACTATAAAAAAAAAAGAAAAGAACAATGCCAGTATGAACGCCGCTGGCCTCTCTGGCATCAGTGGACGCGGTATCATGAGCAGCAAGGGGAAGAGGCTTTTGTTCCTTGATCCCTGTCCGCTTTAGCTGTGTTCCTCTGGTCGGCTTCGTTGTGTCTTTGTCTCTCTTAAGCAGAGCAAACAGAACGAAATGCTGCTACGCGTGGTGCTATCCCACGATTATTGTTTCTGGCACTATCCAGGATACTCTAAAAAGAGAAGAGAACATGCGAAACCGATTGAGCCCTGCTGAAGGGTCTCTGGAAATAAGACAGCAATGTTGTTCTGCTTGAAAGGTCGCAGAAAAAGCGCACAAATACTCGAAAGCATTGACAAGGGACATTTGAGATAGGAAATAAGCGAATAAGACAAGAGGAGAAGAAGAGACTCCCTCGGGCCGAGCAACGAATCATCATCCTCCAGAGAGGCGCACGAAAGCGTAAATTCGAAATGTGGCAACAGCGCTATGACTCAGCTCTACTTGTTTCTCTGCTTCTATATAATGCCGTCTCTCTCTTTTCCGCGCCCAACCGCTCTTTCAGCGTCAGGCAGCTGACACCCTACTGTAGCTATCTCTCTCAACGACTCGTGGCAGACAAGCCATCTCACTCGCACTTCACGTCGGATCGTCTGACCGGTCCCCACCAGGAATATTCTTCCTCGTGCCCCAGACTCTCTCGAGTTCCCTATCCACCTAACGTCGTACTGACAACTGGTTCGTTCTCCTACCATCCTAGTTGCCAGCACTACTACACTACGACTGCTACTACTACCAACAACTGGATCGCCTGTTCAAGCTCTACCCTCTCCTGTATATATTTACTTGCTACTATATGTCGACTCGACTGTGTCACATTGTACTGGTGAAACTAGTGTGCAAAGCCGGCACAAAGTCTCGTGCGAATAAAAACATCTATAGGATATGTTAGTCTTCATTTATTTTCTTCACTACTAGCTCATCCAATTCTTTACCAACTCGTGATGGTGATGGTGGTGGTGATGTTGTCTCTCTATTCACTCTGACTATCCTCTCTCACTTGCTCTTTATCCAACTTTGCAAACACCAGTCGATAGTCATTGCATACATCTTCCTACTTGCCAGTTTAGAGAGGACAATAGCAAGTCTCTGGGCGTGGGCCCAAGAACGAGAAAGGCACTAGAGATATATTATGCCAGGTCACAAAAAGACTTAGTGGCGATTGTCGCTGAATCGTGCTTTATGGCTACGATTCATGAGACTTTAGCATTGGAACAGGTTGCTTGGATGCTGATTTGTAGCTAGTCTACGACGACTTTGACCAAGTTGTATATCAGCCTTACATATTTCTTTGCTTCATACTACTTGATCAAAATTGAATGTTATCAGTATTGATTATGAATTATTTGTTAAGTGATTCATTTTTTTTTTAAACCAATTCAATTATACTTGGCCTCATTGGAGGACATTTCAAGGTCTAACTTGGCAATATTTTTCAGCCATGACTGAAATTATTTCAATGACTTTGTATACAACCATAGGTGCTGAAAAGCATTTAAATTGAATTTTTTCGTGTTACACACAATAAAATAGGAAAGTATATTTTATTTGGACATTCAAAGTAAATAGGATTCCAACTGCGATAAAAAAAAAAGTGGATAACTGAAATGGAAGCAGGAAAAAGGGAACACTTTGGAGTAATATTCATGAAAACAGAATAAATCGAATCATACACTTTAAAGTTTGAATATTATTCCTGTAGCTATGCTCTAGTAAAGTTAATTGTGTGACCCTGAATTCAAGTAAATATTTATTTTCAAAGTCTTATCTAGGTTGTAAATAAAACTAATAAAAATATCTAATTCATCTAATCTTCAAAGTGGAAGCTAATAATAAATTAAAATAAATAAGTAATCTGAAAGACGAATTTCATATCAGCTAATAATGTAAATGTGTTTATCTCAAAATTGTGAGGATACAATTTGCATGATTTTAATAAATTTACTTAGTAATATTTTTTTATTATGTAAATCAACATGAAATATTTATAAACTGTCTACGAGGATAGGAAATCGATGGAGCGAGTTTTCGAAGGCACTTTCAAAAGGAAGAATAGAAGATTTCATTGGATATGGACCAAAGATTATCACACGAAAATGAGGTAAAAACAGGAAGTCACCTTTATACAATTATTTGCTAAAATTGTCTTGGGGTCATAAGTGAAGTCTTGGTTTCTTGTGTCGTTCTACTTTCGAATGCTGAGCATGGACATAAACCGTGCGAGAACAACTACGTAAAGAAGCCAATCAAGAAGTCAAGTCGGTGGTATAGGTTTGGCAACGATGCTTTGGGTTGTGCACCTGTGTTAGCCTCAGTCTTCTCTCAAATACCCGCTATTTTCTTTCGACTTATTTTATTCATTTTATCCATTCCATTCCAGACACCAACATATATATTGTTCATGTCTGCACCTCGTAAAATGCCTTGCGATATCCACAGGATTTTTAACTAGTCAAATTTCAAAGAAAAGACTAAATTGTTTGTTGAGTTTTTTTATGATGAGAACGTTGTAATTATTCAAATGCCCCAACACTTGAAGAGAACAATTTTTATCCTGTTTATCATCGTCAATTAGCTTTGGAGTTTCAAAAGATAATCATTTCTTGGAAAGAAATTAGTAGTAGTCTTTAAGTGATATTTACTTTAATTAATATTATCATTAGAGTTTTGGTAATTTTAGCTTATATTAAAGAATATCTACTTTTTTTTTTAAATATCAATTTATCTAACTTCATCAAACATCATATTCCTATCTTTTAAGTAACAAATAGCATTAGAATTAGTTACTCATTTCTTTCCATGAAGAATATTCAGCAGGGATTTGGAATACTCATTAGCTGATATCAATGAAAAATGGTGAAATATCGTGTTGGAATTATTGAAGCATAATTTTAGAGATAAAAGTCGGTGAAAAAAAAAAGAAGAAAAATAGTGAAAAGATATAATACTATGGAGATTTAATATGTCACACAACGGTTCCGTTATGTCGGAGTAATAAAAAGAAACGGCCACGCAGGAAATTCACGTTCTGTTGCCGATGGAATTGAGTTTAAAGAAGCTACAGTGGGTGGGTATATGAGTATAAAGCATAAGGAATAGAAATACCTAACGGACTGACCACATCAGCATGAAGACAATTAGCAAGAGTATAAAAGGATTATAAAGCTTCAGTAATCTAACATTATTTCATTGTTTTGAGCATTTAGGTGTTTAGCTATTGGCATAAATTATATACTTGAGTAAAATTTATCGTGGAATATTTTTTTAGAGAAAAAATTATCGACAGAAATCCGCTAGGAACTATGCTCTTAAAGAGGAACTCAACACATTATAGTGTTACAGAGGATATAAATCTCTCTGTCCTCAATAATTTTCTATTTTCTTTTTATTTTCTATTTTTTTTTTTCTTAAAAAGATAAAGATAAGTCATTGCATCTTAACGTTACTGACCATGGACGAGAAGACTATCACCTGTTCAGATCAATGCATCCGGTAAATCCAGTCCACACGTTTTGATGATGGAGTATCAACCACCAACTTAGAGCAGTTACGACCGGTTCATACCCACTATGCTGATCAGCACTTAAATATTTTTTGACTATTTTAAATGACAATCATTTCAAGCAAGTATTAAAATTTAATGTAACATGAGAAAAGAGGAGTAAAAAAACAACGAATAAAAATATAAGAAGAAAATACTCATCATGATCACCACCACCACGACCATCATCATCATCAACATCATCATCATTGTGGAAACAAGAATAAAGAGATGCCACGACAAAAAGTCGGTGAGGAAATAACGGTAGTCTGTTGTTACGAGCACGATGGCCCTGATTCCTCATGTTTATGCATCTCTTTATAGTGTCACTGGAATATTTTATTACTGTAAATCATTCACTTGAGATAACCTCCTATCCATGGCTCTCCAAACTTTACAAAATACCCTTGCCAAAAGTTCTTCACTTCAAACTTAATATCAAGCAAAATATGTCTGTATTAAATCAGTTTTTGTAAATTATTATCATAATAAAATTTTGAAACTTCTAAATCTTCCAAAATTCACTCTAAAACATATTTTTTGTCTCATGAAAAATGACGAATATTTATTTACGAGGTCAGGAAATGCATGAAAAATATTATCATAAAAAAGCTGGTATTTTAATTAAATAAAAAAAATTTGTTGAAAAAATAATGATTAAAT